AATGGGGTAATTAAGGACAGTTTGCTAAAGGGTCTATTTACAAGGTGTGAGAAGTGTTAAGGAAAGCAGAACCCAGGGGAGCTATTAACACCTCATTAGTTCCCAGCTTAAGACTGCTCCAACCCTAAACTTAAGGGGCAAGATGAGGGAAAGATCATCAGAACCCAGTGTAGGGGCCTTCTGTCATCTTTGGCAGAGGGTCACCACCAACACAACAATCCAGCAAGAAAGAAACAAACCAAATACCCTGACCTCACCCTCCTCCAGCCCTCCCATCCTCACTAGTCCCCTTCATTGCTCAACCCCATCCGAGTCCAAGACTAGAACACCTATGGGTGCAGTCCACGAAGCGTCAGCCTCTGACAAATGGGGATGGTACACAACAGAGATGAGTAGAAGGTAGAAGGTGGTTTTGGAAGGCCAAATGGAAATACTCTGGAATTTACAGCTTGGGCTATTTTTATAATCTAGAAAAATATCACTGAGAAAATTGGTCCTGCTTTTTTGTTGTTTTGTTTTTACCATCAAAATGTTAAATTTTGGGAGACCTCCGGTCAAGATGGCGTCAGAGGTAAACACGGTATCGCCTCCTCCCACAACCACATCAAAGTTACAACTAAACTACAGAAAAACCATCTAGAACCACCTGAAATTGAGCTGAATGGAAGTCCTACAACTATGAAATTAAAGAAGCAGCCACATCGAGACTGGTAGGAGGGGCGAAGGCTTGACCAGCTGGTCCCACACCCACATGTGGTGGATAAAAATAAGGAGGATACCTCAGCTGGGAAGTCCTCGCTGAGGACTGAGGGGTCCCCATCCCACACCAGGCACCCAGATCAGAGTTCCAGTCCCAGGAAGAGAAGGCCCATCACTTCTGGATGGGAAAACCAGCAAGAACTGAGGCTGAGGGAGTCTGAGGTGGCTGGAGCCCCAGGCAGCTCCTCTTTAAGGGCCCAGGCATGAGCTTACTCAGACTCACACCCTCCAGGCTCCAACGTGGGAGAGGCAGCGTAAAAGGCACCAGAGACATATGGAGAAAAACTGAGTTCAGCACTGGAGCGAGGGCTGGAGAGCTGGCTTTCTCCTGGACAGACTTGCTAGAAGAGGCCTTTATTCCTTTGGTGATCCCTTCCCTGGAGTGGCAGACAGCTGCCATATCTGGGACTCCAGCAACTTGGCTCACACTGTTTACCCTGCCCTGTGATTCCCTGAGGCCCTGCAGCAGGCAACTTTCAGGCCCACTCAAGCTGTTGCCAGTTGCATTACCATAGGATTGGCCTGTCTTAAAACCTGCTTCAGGTTTTCCTAAATTATTTCAAACAAGAAGCATCTGGTCTCAGCTTGCCCCATACCTCTCGTTAAGTAATACATAGAAACAAACACAGGGAGGCAACCAAAATGAGACAAAGAAACAGGTTCCAAATGAAAGAACAGCACAAAACTCCAGGAAAAGAACTAAGTGATATTAAAATAAGCAACCTAACAGATGCAGAGTTCAAAACACTGTTTATAAGGATGCTCAGTGAACTTAGTAAGAACTTCAAGAGCATAAAAAAGGAGCAGTCAGAAATGAAGGATGCACAGTCAAAAATGCAGGAGGCACTAGCTGAAATAAAGAATAATTTACACAGATTCAATAGTACAGTAGGTAAAGCCAAGAAGCAAACCATTGATTTGGGATATAAGGAAGCAAAAAACACCCAATCAGAACAGCAAAAAGAAAAAAATCCAAAAAAATGAGGATAGTGTAAGGAGCCTCTGGGACAACTTCAAACGTGCCAACATTTGCATCTTGGGGGTGCCAGAAGGAGAAGAGAGAGAACAAGACATCGAAAACCTATTTGAAACAATAATGGCAGAAAACTTCCCTAACTTGGTGAAGGAAACAGACATACAAGTCCAGGAAGCACAGAGAGTCCCAAATAAGATGAACCCCGAGAGGCCCACACCAAGACACATCATCATCAAAATGCAAAAGGTTCAAGACAGAATCTTAAAAGCAGCAAGAGAAAAGCAGTTACCTACAAGGAGTTCTCATAAGGCTGTCAGCTGTTTTCTCAAAATAAACTTTGCAGGCCAGAAAGGAGTGGCAAGAAATATTCAGAGTAATGAAAAGCAAGAACCTACAACCAAGATTACTCTATCCTGCAAAGCTGTCATTTAGAATCGGTGGTCATATAAAGAGTTTCCCAGACAAGAAAAAGCTAACAGAGTTCATCACCACCAAATCATTATTATATGAAACAGGGGTTTTTTTGTTTTTTATCCTCACTCGAGGACATTTTTTCATTTTTTGTTCAGATAGAGCAAAAGGGAGAGAGAGAGAAACATTAACATGAAAGGAACACATCGAGTGGCCGCCACCTGCACGACCCAACCAGGGCCAGGGACAAACTGCAACCAAGATACAATCCCTTAGCAGGAACTGATCGAGGTTTCTCTGGACCGCAGACCAATGCTCTAACCACTGAGCCAAATGGACCAGGGCTATGAAATGTTGAAGGGTTTTCTTGAAGAAAAAGATAAAAAATATGAACAAACAAAATGGCAATGAATACATATCTATCAACAATTAAATCTACAAACAAAATGAACAGGCAGAACAGAAGCATTCTCATAGATACAGAGAACATTTTGTTGGTTGCCAGATGGGAGGGGTGTTGGGGGAATGGGTGAAAAAGGTGAAGGGATTAAGAAGTACAAATTGGTTGCTAGACTGACAAACATCAAAGGGAAGGGGGGTGGAGGGTGGAAAGAGATAAACCAAAGAACTTATATGTATATATGCATAACCAATGGACACAGACAACAGTGTGGGGAAAGGCAGGAGGGGGAATGAGGACGTGGGGGTCAATAGGAGAAAAATGAGGAACATCTGTAATACATTCAACAATAAAGATAAATTTTTTTTAAAATGTTCAATTCTGGATAACTAGAAGACAGTGTTTTAATCTTTCATGCTAAAGCCAGATTACAGGTGTATAAGAAAGCTAGGCAACTACATGTGAGTTCATTACTATTTTAATATTTAATTTTTGGTAACCAAATTTACCAAGTATTTAAGGGAGAGTCTTCCTGTACCCACCATTCCTGTCCCCAATGATTTAATATCTTAGATTTAGAAGCTTGGTAGAAGAACAAAAATTTAAGTTCTCCGTTATTACTAGATAGAGAGCTCCCTGGAGGAGAGCTTCGTCAGAGTAAGTGGCTTTGTGGAGATGAAATCCTCAGAGTCTTGAGGCCTTCATAAATGTTGTTGTAATCCACATCCGCTCCTTAAAGACTGTTTAAGTAGAAAATAGACCTTTAGCTTAGGACAATTTTTTTCAAGGTAATGTCAATAATTATTTTAATCATAAGAGAAAAGCTATTTCTAGTAAAGGCTTATTTCCCCTAATACAAATTCCTTAACTCTAGTGATTATTGCAGTTCGTGTGGGTGTAGAGAAGAAACCACACTGGAAGTCGGGGCTGTAGATTCAATAGGAAGCATCACGTCTTGTCCAGAGCTGGTCGAGCCCCTTAAGGAGCACTCTGCTTCAGTTCCCTCAACTCTGAAAAGGGTATGACTAGTTATTAAAATTACTTGAGATCACAGATCAGATTCAGGTATAAGCCACTTCCAAAAAGAGAAGAACTTTGGAAAGGTACATTATCTCTTAGAAATTAGGGGCCCGTAAGGGGGAAAGAAACTAGGGGTCCTATAACTAGAATGTCAAGGGGATATATAGGGCGAGGTGGGGTGGGGTGGGGCATGCCTAAGGGAGTAGAAAATATCAGTACTGGTGTGCAGTATGCCTTTGGACTTTTGAACATCATGGAGCTAATTATACAGACTAATTTTTAAATTTCTCATCTTCTGGTCTAGGGTGTTTTCAGCAATTGTGTTCGGTGCAGTGGCTCTAGGACATGCTAGTTCCTTTGCTCCGGACTATGCCAAAGCCAAGCTGTCTGCTGCCCACTTGTTCATGCTGTTTGAAAGACAACCTTTGATTGACAGCTACAGTGAGGAAGGCTTGAGGCCTGTGAGTTCTCAGCTGCCCTAGGAATGCTCGGTTATTTTTTCCTAAAGGTTGCTGTCTGCTAGATTCTAAGTACAGGATCAACGTGTAGTGATTACACTGACGTTTAGTTATCTTGATGATATTTACAGAGCTAATATTTGGCCAGCTTTCTTGAAATTTTTAAATTTCACGGGGGCGGGGGTTGTTCAAGGATTGTAAAGTTTAGCACATCAAAAATAAAAAACAAAAAATCCAGATATACTGAAACTGGATACTTTTTATGAAAACCCTTAGTCATGTTAGTCATTTCTGCATGAGGGTATATGCCTCTAATTCTGTATGAAAATGAATTAGCAATTTGGCTTTAATCACATCTTGTAACAACTGCATTACAGTTGGTAAAAAGGTCCCTTTATCACAGTGAATAATCCTATACTATTTCCAAAGTTCGCTTACACTTAGATTGGAATCTTCTTTGCACAACACTCGCTGCTATAGTTGTAATGCTCAAGAAGCAGTGTGGGTGAACAGATACGGACTTGATCTTTCCAGGACTTTACCAGGTATTTCATGTTCTTAGAAAATTGTGTGTGGGGTGAGGGAGATAGAGTGAGAGAACGAGACTGCCGGGGCTTGAGGCAGGGCTGTGCACCGACACTGCAGGGAGAGACCGCCCTCGGTTCCCTCGCCTTTGAACCTTTAGCCGCTGCCTTGGCTCCAGCCTCCAAACCGCCCTTTAAGAATCTAAATGAACCTTAAATGAACTAGAAATCGAGTTTGTAATATGACTATTTAATGTATCCCGTACCCCCATCTCCCATCTTCATTTTATATAATAAGGTTCTATCAATATTAACGAGTGCTAACACTTGTACTAAATATGACTTTTATGTTTTTCTACTAAAGTCTTTGGTAAAGTTTCCCTGAAAGAATACTTTTCATTACAATAATCATCAGACCGATTATAATAGCAACATTAAAAACTTTCTTTTAGGATCAGTTTCAAGGAAATGTGACATTTAATGAAGTCGTGTTCAACTACCCAACCCGGCCGGACGTGCCCGTGCTGCAGGGGCTGAGCCTGGAGGTGAAGAAGGGCCAGACGCTGGCCCTGGTGGGCAGCAGCGGCTGTGGGAAGAGCACGGTGGTCCAGCTCCTGGAGCGGTTCTACGACCCAATGACTGGAAGAGTGGTGAGCACACTTTCTTAAATTGGTAACCTGATTTAAGGCAATAAACTAATATTCCCATAATAGAAAAAAAATTGGACAAAATCAAACTACCACCAACAAAACCATTCTCCCAAAGACACTGCCCTTTGAGCTTGTTCACTTTCCCTTAAACTTCTGTCTTTAGTGCCGTCAGAGAGAAAAGTTTAAGGCTGGTAGTTCTCAGGGGAAGGAGAAGTAGTAATAGTACAGGAGAGTCTGCTTTCTGTCTGGTATGCCTGCAGGGGGTCGTCAAGTTGAAAGGCTGGAGTCCTTCAGGGGACAGCAGATAGGAGTAGAACACTTAATTTCAGGCTTCCTACAGGCAGGGGAAGGTACACTTGCCTGGAGGAGGGCAGAAAAAGACAAAGAGAGGAATAAGAAAAGACAGGACCAAAAGTGCCACCATTTTGCCAGTTAGAGCAAAATGTTTTTATCATTATAAAAATCATTTTGTTGGCCATGTTGGCTCCCAACAGTGTGAGTACATAGGGCTGTGAGGCTTGGTATTCCACAAACTGCTCATGCCATGCTCCCAAGTCCTCCAAATGTTTTATCTAGTAACTTACTGCTTAGTCCTATTTTTTTCTTTTCAAGCCCTTCTTATGGTTTGTGGACTTTGGTTTTTAGCTCTTAGATGGTCAAGAAGCAAAGAAACTCAACCTCCAATGGCTCAGAGCCCAACTCGGAATTGTGTCCCAGGAGCCCACACTCTTTGACTATAGCATAGCTGAGAATATTGCTTATGGAGACAACAGCCGGGTTGTATCACAGGAGGAAATTGTGAGTGCAGCCAAAGCAGCCAACATACATCCTTTCATCGAGACCTTACCCCACGTAAGTAAACTGCTAACTTCTTAGGATGAAATCAGGATCAACTACAACACTGTTTTCCTCCTCAACAATTCCCAAAGTCATACTCCAACAGTCTTGTCATAAAATGTGTCTATTTACTAGCTCACTGAACTTGGACAAGACACTGAACTTAATGGTACCAAGTCTCCTTATGTCACGTCTACCTCATGCAAATGGAATGAGAAGCAAATACAGTGACATGAAGTTAATGAACTGTATCGCAGGTTACAAACTGGTAGGCTGCTTTCAGACTGCAGCCAAGTATCCCTTATGATGCTTTCTTTTTAATTAAACACTTTATTTTGATATAATTATAGATTCACATGCAGTTGTAAGAAATAGATCTTATGTACCTTTACCTAGTTTCCTCCGATGAGAACATGGCAAAATAGCCATATTGACATTGAGACAATCCACAGATCTTATTCAGACTTCCCTTTTACTTGTACACATTTATATATGTGTGTATTTAGTTCTGTGCAAATTTGTTGAATGTGTACGTTCATGTGTACACCACCATAGCCACGATACAGAACAATTCTATCACCACAAAGATCCCTCATGTTGTCCTGATAGCCCCACGTCCCTGCTTCCTGCCCTCACTCCCCACCAACTCTGGCAGCCGCTCACTGTTCTCCATTTCTGTAACTTTCTACTTTCAGAACATTATATAAACATACAGTATATAACCTTTTGAGATGAGCTTTTCTCACTCTGTCTAATTCCCTGAAGTTGTGTGTATCTATAGTTCATTTCTTTTTATTGCTGAGTAGTGTTCCATGGCATGGATGTGCCTTGTTTATCTATTCACTTGTTTTCAGTTTGGGGCTATTAAGAATACAGCTGCTACCCTGGCTGGTTTGGCTCAGTAGTTGGAGCATCAGCCCTTGGACCAATGAGTCGCAGGTTCCATTTCACTCAAGGGCATGTACCTCAGTTGTGGTTTGTCCCCAGCCCTGGTCGAGGTCATGCAGGAGGCAGCCAGTCGATGTGAGACACAACCATGTTTCTCTCTCTCCCCGCCCTCCCTCCCACTCTACCTGAAGATAAATGGAAAAATATCCTTGGGTGAGGATTAAAAAAAAGAATAAAGCTGCTATAAATATTTGTGTGCCAGTTTTAGTGTGAACCTAAGTTTTCATTTCTCTGGGAGCAATGCTTAGGAGTGCAGTTGTTAGGCCATATGGTAATGGCATGTTTAATTTTACAAGACACTGCCCAACTGTTTTCCAGAATGACTGTGCCATTTTACATTCCTACCAGCAAGTATGGGTAACAGTTTCTCTGTATTTTTGCCAGCATTTGCTACTGTTACTTTTTTTTTTTTTTTTTTTTTTTTTTTTTACCATTCTGATACTTGACTAGTGATACCTACCTCATTGTGGTTTTAATTTGCGTTTCCTAATGTCCAAGGATGTTGAACATCATTTTATGCACTTATTTGTCATCTGTATTTCCTTGTTGGTGAGATGTCTCATGTTCTTTGTCCATTTCTTAGTGGGTTTGTTTTTCTACTGTTGAGTTTTGACAGAGTTTTATATATTCTAGTTATTAGATAAGTAGTTTGAAAACATTTCCCCACAGTCTACTGCTTTTTTCCCCATCCTTTTAACACAGTCTTTTGTGGAGCCAACGTTTTACATTTTGATGAGGTGCAATTCATCAGTTCTTCCTTTTACAGACTGTGCTTTTGTTGTCAAGTCTAAGAATTCTTTGTCTACCTCCAGGTCCTAAAGATTTTCTCTGCCCTTCCCCCAAATGTTATGGCTTTACATTTTACATTTGAGTCCATGCTCCATTTTGAGTGTATTTTTGTATAAGGTAGTTTTTCTTCAGGGATTCATTTCATTCCTTGAGGGGACATATACTCTCCAGTTTCCATGGTCCCCCATGCTCTCTATGACCTATTATAGCTGCTGTGACTATAGCCAAAGTGCAGTGATGTCAGTATGGATTTGAAAAATATTGAAGGTAAGAATTCAGTGAAACAATTTTCAGAAACTAGTAAACACGAGTAGTCCTGGAACAATAACTTAAGATCCCTAAAACTGAGGGTCCAGTGGATAAAACTGAAATTCAGCTTATTTGTACTGTTCTACTTGGCTATGATTAGAAATCACATTCACAAACAAAATCCAAACCTCCATGTTGCTTAGCCTTACCAACTCTTAACACGTAGGCATTGACTTCAAGTACTGGATATGACTGAATAGAAAAATGTTAAGGCTTCAGTTTTTATTTAATTGACATGGGGCTTTAGGACATTAATTCACATGATGTATATTGAACTCAGTTCACCACAAACAGAACTGACTCGATCTGTAGTTTTATTCATTCTATGTTTTTGTTTTTTTGTTTTTGGCTTAGAATGTTCTCCCAATATCCAGCTTCCCAACTTCTCTACAGAGGCATCTTTAGTTTATCCCTCCTTTCTCGTCCCACCTTATATCCACAATTTCTGCTTCCCTCTGTGATGTTGCATATACTACTCATTTGGTACTCACTTGACCTTATATTGATGTTGAATATGTATTTTATTCTTTTTTTTTTTTCATTTAATTTATTTAATTAATTTTTGTTACAGATGTTTCTCCTTTCCTCCCCAGTGATTCCCCCCTCTCCCTCCCTCCCCGCCCTGTCCACAGCTTTGTTGTCCATGTCCATTGTTCATGCATACATGCATATAAGTTCTGTGGTTTATCTCTCCCCCACCACCCCCTCTTCTGGGGATTGTCGGTCTGTACCCCACTTCCACGTCTCTGGGACTACCCCATTCCTCAGACTGTTATGTTCATTATATTTCACAAATAAGTGAGATCATATGATACTTGTCTTTCTCTGTTTGGCTTGTTTCACTTAGGATAATACTTTCCAGGTCCCTCCATATCATCTCAAAGGATAAGAGATCTTTCTTTCTAACAGCTGCATAGTACTCCATTGTGTATATGTACCACAGCTTTTTTATCCACTCATCTACTGATGGATATTTGGGCTATTTCCAGATCTTAGCTATTGTAAATAGTGCTGCTACAAACATGGGGGTACATATATTCTGTATTTTTTTCTTTAGATTTTAATTCCTTCAGGGTAGGAATAAAGCTGAATTCATTTTACACTTCCCACAGCTCTGGGCATAACAGGTACTTTGTAAATGTTTAAGTGAATGAATGAACTTAAAAGTGAATAAACTGGGCTCCTTGTGAGTCATATGACTATCAAATTTTTAAAAAATTTTAATCTTAAATATTAACATTTAACCCTTTTTGGACTCCAGTGACATCAGCTGACATTAATAATGGTAGGAATTCGAGAATTTGTTGCAGAATACCACTGAGAACTAAAGTCACTAGCTTTCTATTTCGATTTTAAAAACATTGATAAGTGGAAGAAAAACGCTGAATAAACTATGTAGTTGTTACAAAAACTTTTTCTTGATTCCAAATATTTTTTCCTTATAAGTAGCACTGTCATAAGTTAAGAAGCAAAAGTTTATTCAATATAGCATTAATTTTTCTGGATTACAGACTTATTAATTTTATTAATGACTGCCTTACAGAAATATGACACGAGAGTGGGAGACAAGGGGACTCAGCTGTCGGGAGGTCAGAAACAGAGGATTGCTATCGCCCGTGCCCTTATCAGACAACCTCGAATCCTCCTGTTGGATGAAGCTACATCAGCTCTGGATACTGAAAGTGAAAAAGTATGAATCCCACCTCATGTCCCATTTAATTTGTAAAGCAAACGTTTTTGTGATATTAACCATGAAAAAATATGTAAGCACAGAAAAAGTAAATTTAGAAAGTGGTTATTTTGAGAAATTTAGACAGTGGCTATTTTGAGGGAGAATATTTTCTTATTCCTTTCAGCAATTTCCAATTTTTCTAAAATTATATATTACTTTTAGAAACACACTAAAAGAAAAGCATTCAAAAGAGAAGGCTGCATAAATAATTTTTAGCACATTAACTTTAATGGAAAATCTGAAAAATAGAATACTTAATAAAAGGGACCAGTTAGTTAAAATTTCTAACTAGTCAAAGTATATTTTACTTATTTGTGAAGACTATTTAGTGGGAGAATACATTTTTAAATTTAAAAGAAAACTATATATAATGTCAAATTATTAAATACCCACGCATAAGCCAAAGACTGAGATAAGAAAATTTCTTGTTTGGATGGTAAAATTCTTAAATTTCCTTTAATGCTAAAACCTATTTATACAGTTTTTAAGGTAAGGCTTCTGGTCTGATTCATCAATAGGTCGTCCAAGAAGCCCTGGACAAAGCCAGGGAAGGCCGCACCTGCATTGTGATTGCTCACCGCCTGTCCACCATCCAGAACGCAGACTTGATAGTGGTGGTTCAGAACGGCAAGGTCAGGGAGCACGGCACCCATCAACAGCTGCTTGCACAGAAAGGCGTCTACTTTTCCATGGTCAGCGTCCAGGCTGGGGCACACAACTTATGAACTCTTGTTATAGTATATCTTAAAAATAAACTCAAATCATTCTACAACTTTTGCTGACATGTAAAAGAAGTTTCTGAGTCATCGTAAAATATAGGTACATCTGACTGGCCAGTGTGGCTCAGTGGTTGAGCACCGACCATGCACCAAGAGGTCACCAGTTCGATTCCTGGTCAGGGCTCATGCCCAGGTTGTGGGCCAGATCCCCCTGTGTGGGGCGCAGGAGGCAGCCAGTCGATGTTCTTGCTCACCGATGTTTCTCTCTCCCCCTCTCTCTTCCTCTCTCTAAAATCAATAAAGAAAAAAAAAATTTTTTTTTTAATATAGGTACATCCAGTTTGGGAGTTGATATTACATTTGAAATTTCAGAGTTATAAATCAAGACATGTTCTTGATGAAATATGGAAACAGTTTAGTTCTTCCTGAGTTATCAGAAACATACAGAAAAACAGAGCAAAGTTCAGGTATATAAAGCTGTAGAATTAGTAGAAGCCACATAGGGACAATTCTTATGGTCCTGAATAGTTGAGTGTTTTGGAAAAAATTTTCCCAAGTACAAAGAAAATATAAATTGTTCAAAAGCCTATTCTCTCCCTTGGTGGATTTCCAAATCATTCTATTGGGGCATTAAGATTTAAAATAAATATATCCCCAGCTTTATGATACTCCAGGAGAAAATGAAATTTCCTTTAGACAAGGCAGTTACCAGTGGGCACACATTCGATCCACAAAGCAAAAAGATACCAAATATTTCTTTTAAAGAAATGTTTAAAACTCGTGAATAATTACTGTATATATTCTCAGTGCAATTTGGAACATTGGAAATATCAATAATAAAATGCTGTTTCTATAGCAAATGCATTACATTTTACAAATAATCCTAGTATTCCCAGAATGTGAATCCACTTCTAACAAGAAGAAAATATATTTAGAAGAAGAGCAAAAAGAGTATTCCAGGAAACCCTTGGAAGCTAACCACACTGAATTTTTTTCCCATAATTTACTGCAGCAATATCAATTTTCATTGCTGTGCCAAGTTGTTTGGGTCAGTGAAGTATTCAAACGAAGTTCTTCTACCTGTAATAAACCACATGCTGTATTACCAAAGATGTTTCAAATGTGACCATGTGTATAAGCAAACAATTTCAGATTAACCAAGAGAAGAATGGGGCAAGGGTAATGTTAACAGTGACTCAGTATGAGAATTCAATTTTCTTGTGTAATTCCCAAAGCTGCCTAATGAGGATCATAGGGCATGTGCCCCTGGAAATTCTGACTTAGTACATCTGGGTAGAAGCCAAAGTATCTCTGTAAAGTATGCCAGATGATTTTTAACCTAGGCAATGTAGGGAAACGTGTTCAAGCATGAGTAAAAAGAGGCTTCTCTCCAGGACGTGATAAGTTTCTGAAGTGCTCAACTCCTCAGATATTACATAAAAACAATCAACCAGCCCTGGCTGGTTTTCTCAGTGGTTAGTGTCAGCCTGCAGACTACAGGGTTGCAGGTTCGATTCCAGTGAAGGGCATGTACCTCCGTTGTGGGTTGGGGTTGTGTGGGAGGTAACCAGCTGATGTGTCTCTCACATGGATGTTTCTCTCGCTCTCTCCCTCCTACTCTACCTGAAGATAAATGGAAAAATATCCTTGGGTGAGGATTTAAAAAAAAAAACCAAGTAATTCTAAAATGCCTGGAAATTTAGTCCATAAAACTGTACTAGTGAGGAAAAGATTCATAGTTCAGGTATCAAATGCTATAGAAGCCCACTCTGAAATGTTTTCACAAGGAAATACACCAGCTTTAGCAAATTCAGAACATATGAAAATGTAAGAACAGGCCGGCCGGTGTGGCTCAGTGGTTGAGCATCGACCCAGGTATCAAGAGGTCGCCAGTTCAATTCCCAGTCAGGGCACATGCCCAGGTTGTGGGCCAAATCCCCAGTGGGGGGGCATGGAGCAGGTGGCCAGTTGACGTTCTCTCTCATCGTTTCTCTTTCCGTCTCCCTTCCTCTCTAAAATGAATAAAGAAAAAATATTTTTTTTAAAGAAAAAGGAGATCCAACCAATATACTAAATCTATCATCTTTATGTGATATTGCTGTGAAAAGGCCCCCAATCATGTCCCCTCTTGTGCTCACTCATTTAACCAAAAATGTGCTTGTCTTAAATTTGGACTGTCCTTGTAACTTGTTTTAACCAACAGAATGTAAAAGGTGTGACATCATGTGACTTCGATGTGACTTCAGGGCCTAGGCCTCAACAGGCCCTGCAGCATTTATCTCCCCTCTTAGAACCCCCACTGCCAAGTACAGAAATCCAAGTTAAATACTGAATGATCAGACTCCACGTGGAGAGAGAATGTCAGCCACTATGTCCCCAGACAGTGGGTGAAGCCATCTCAGACTTACGAGCCACAGTCCAAGAGTCTGGTGACTGCAGCTGCTTAAATGACTGAGGCAAGAGAGCAGCAGAATCTCCACATGGGCTCAGTCGACTGCCACAATCATGAGGAACGTTACATTGTGGGTAGGCTAAGTTTGGGGCAGTTTATTACACAATATATAACAGATCAGAAAGTATAAGGTCAAAAACCAATGAATCACTTATTCAAACAAAACAAGAAGCTGTATGACTTTGAGAGTTTTATTTATTTTTCTGAGGGTAGAAACTACATGATTGAACAGGAGGAAAAAACAAAAATCCTGAGAATGCGATTCAATATTTAATCCTTTTAAAGTCATTAATTCTGACAACTAATTTTAAATATAAGTACTTTAATTTTTTATTCACAAAACTAATGACAATATACTAAAATAAATTTTGTTAGTTGTTTTTTTTTTAAAATATATGTCAGAGGGTGTAAACCTCCCTACTACAATTTACTTCTTCTGTCCAATAAAACTTTGTTAGATCACCATTAAACTGTAGTGGTCTTTCCCAAACACAGTAAGCTTACATCCCTATGGTTAATGTGAAAAAGTGATTTAAGGGAAATTAGCATCCAATCATGGATATCATACCCTTTGGCAACTAGAAAATGTTAAAGTGCTTGAAAGACTCTATAACAGCAATTTTCAACCTGTGTGCAGCAAGAATTTTTAAAATATGGGATACCCGAACGTAGTCAGGGGCACTGACCTCTTTTCCCTTAGACTGTCAAATAAAAATATGACAACAGCCAACACAACAGTAGCTTTCCGGTGTGAATGAATAAAAATTATGCCTATTTTTTTTGTCAGATTAGCAAAAAATACATTTTTTGGTGTGCCACAGAATTTTAGTAATTCATTTGTGTTTGCCATGAAGTGAAAAAGGTTAAAAACTGCTGCTCTACAATGATGTTCAGGAAGAGAATTTATAACCTAAACAGTTACTAATAAAGATATTTTTAAAAAGACCTGCATTGTTAAAATGTGTACATTTGCATTTTTGAGGCTTATCTTAAACTTTGCATAGTTCTATTTATATTCACTATATCAAACTTTGTATAAATTTAGAGAGCATGATTCTAAGTTCTATGATTCCTTCCAGTCAACACTGCTTCCTATCTCACCTTGCTAACCCACTCGCAGCACCCAGTTTAAATGATTATTTTGGAATGTGCTTGATGAACCCTTAGTCTCTAGAGCTGAGCAAGTTTCATCAACTTCATCATATCACAGAAAGCTTGGAAAACCATCTGGACTAGCTTTTCTGCATCAGTCTCTGGACAGGAATTCCAGGCTGAACAGACCACAACAAACCTGTGAAGCACAAGAAGGAAATGATCAAGTTCTGTGCAAAAATCACAACACGAAAAAGCTCCAGCTGATGACGACCTTGCTGTATCCGGCTGTTCCTGTATGAAGTGTGATTCTGGCTGACACCAGATAACTGTCACCCGACGTATGTAAAGTAAAGGCACATTTATACATGATGCTGGGAACACCCAATTCACGATGTAACTGGAGACTGACTAAGGACAAAAGGGAACAAAACACAGGCCAGAGCTCAGAGTGCTCGGAGCAAGGTCTTACTGGATTAAAGAAACAAACCCACCTCTCCCTACAAATCTTTCTGAACGGTCTTTGAATGGAATGAAGTGGGATACAAATTCATGCCATTGTTTGCTATTAAACTTGAACTATTTTTAAAGAAGAATATATCACTTGAAGAGAGTAAAAAAAACAGTAACAGAAGAAAAAAGCTATTTTAGGAAAGCCAAGGAGAAACTCTCTTGGGACCATCTCCTACTACCTCCTGCTAGGTCCTCCTGATGAAGAAATGCCTGGTCTGGCAGGTGCTAAAAGTGGCCCTGGATATGGAAAGAAGCTGGGCTTCCTGTGGGCTCAGAGCAGAAACTGGGCTATTAACTCTCTTGGAACCAGCCTTCTCCTTTCCAGACACTCAAATTGTTTCATAGCAAAACATGCATTAAGCTCAAGTAAAAACCAAAATGTTGTGTAACGTAAAGCTGTGAACAATGCAATTTTCACATCATTAAAAAGACAGTATATTATATATCTTTGATTTTACATGAGCAGGACGAAGTAAAAACATGCTCTGGCACAGGATATAATGATGAAACTAATGTCTGAGTGGCTAATATATGCTGAAAGATACAGAGGAACCTACAAGAAATCCTGCCTTGTTTTCACCTAGTGATTTCATATACCTTGTCATTTTCTAGCTACATAACATATAATTCTCAAATACTTAGCAACATCTAAATATATTCCTTTGCAAAAATCAAAAATTCCTATTTAAGTGTCAAATTTTTAAAAAATTCAGTTATCCATGCCCTGGCTGGTTTGGGTCAGTGGTTAGAGTGTCAGCCTGTGGATCAAAGAGTTGAGGGTTCGATTCCGGCCAAGGGCACGTACCTTGGTTGCAGTTAGTCCCTGGCCCTGGTTGGGGTCATGCGGAAGGTAGTCAATTGATATGTCTCTCTCACATCGATGTTTTTTTCTCTCTCTCTCTCTTCCCCTCCCCTTCCGACTCTATCTGAAGATATCTGAGAAAATATCCTCAGGTGAGGATTAAAAAATAAAAAAATAAAAATTGTTATCTTTCTAAATTATAGAAAGAAATAACTATCTTCACAAAAGATGGTACAAAGATACCAGTAACAAAGAAAAAATATTTTGTTCATAGTAAAGAATTCAAGTTATATTATTTTCCCCTATAAATTGGTAAAGAATGTTTTATAATGCTTAGAGTTAGCAATGATGAGATGAAAAAAGAAAGGCCCTGGCTGGTTTGGCTCAGTGGCTAGAGCATCAGCCTACAGTCCAGAGAGACTCGGGTTCAGTTCCCACTAAGGGCATGTACCTTGGTTGCAGCTTGTCTCCGGTCCTGGGTGGGTTGTGCGGGTGGCAGCCACTTGATGTGTCCCTTTCATGTCGATGTTTCTCTCTCTTCCTCTCTCTCCCTCCCACTCTATCTGAACAACAACAACAACAACAAAAATGGAAAAATGTCCTTGGGTGAGGATTAAAAAAAAAAAAAAAGAAAGGATATGTTATCATTATTTGGGGACAAACTGCAACCAAGGCACACGTCCTCAGCGGGAACTGAACCTGGGACTCTCTGGTCCGTGGGCCGTCGCGCTAACCACTGAACAAAACAGGCCAGGGCCCCTACCAGGTCTTAATATTTTCTTTCTTACCCTTCCCACAAACTTAACTGAAACCCTATACAACCCAAATGAAATACATCTGAATTGATAAAGCTTGCTTTTTTTATTTATCTAGTCTCCGGTCTTGGTCTCATTGGTACTGTCTATGTCTACATGAACCACACCTGTTTGAAGGCTGTCACATTTTATCTGAACTTACTGTAACACGCCTTGGGTAGGACAACTAGGTTTATAAGTGTGCTAACTTTTGAGGATGATGATGATGATACGATCACTGAATCAAACTTAAACCGTATTCTGCACAAAACACCCAAAGGGCTGATTTGACAAGTGCCTCCAAAGCAGGACAGAGAAACAAATACACATGTAACACCTCAGTGGTAAAAATAATTACCCATTAGCAAGTGACAGATGACAACACAATCAGAATCAAAGTGTGGGAAAGATATCAAACAGCACAAGTGAGAGCTTTCTTACTCTACAGCACAGAGAATGAAAAGAGCGGCCTCACCTGTTGTTTCTGATATGGTAAAAAAACCCATAGCCATTGTGTACCATGGGAACCACCGCTCCCTGGACTCTTAAATAACCAGTCAGACTTGTTGAGAGAATAAAGTTTCCACCTCCTCCACTGCATGGCACAAAGAAAAGATATTACACTAAGCTTACATCGTTTCTGAAGAGCTTTTAACATTCAAGAAAAAATAAACTAATTGGTAAACTTACAAAATACTACATATTACCTTCTGGAGAAAAGTGGATCTGTAAAGATTTCTGGAACAGGGAGACCTTCCTCTTTTGCTATGAGTAAAAGACCTAAAAGATGACGGTCAAATCCTGCAATGAAACCCCAAATCCGAAGTTAGAAAAATGTTCAGCATTAGAGAATTTTTTAAAGTCAGAATAATTACAATGTAAGTACCTTTTCCAGATGAACAGTCTTTCATCATTTTATTATGTTTTGCAAAAGCTTGTAACATATTTTGCTGCTGCGTAAGGAGCTGTGTTAAAAATCAAGAGATACTTCAATAACAAACTGTACAGAACCCAAACAAACAAACAAACAAAAACCTGAGCTCGAAGTAATTAGAATGTGAGTAATTTGGGAGAGAAAAGGTTTTCTAGGAGGACCTCGAGACACATCTTTCCTCACTCCTTGCACTGCTTTTTCTTTCCTGTATGCCCTGCATCTTGATTATTTCCGTCCAGGACCAGGAAACAGGAACGTGGGCAGCACTGAAGACATTATCAGGTGTAAAGAAAGCAGCAACTGTGATTTCAAACTAAAGATTAGTTGTGCAAAAATGATAATGATGTAGTTCTATGAAGTTAAAATAAATTAATATATACTATGTCTATCAAAAGTAAAGAAATACAATACCAAAATAGCAGTGGGAAATAATTACCCTGTTCTCTAAATGCTTCCAAAAGAAAAGTATAAAACAAAACATAAAACTGTCCTGGTTCTAATATATGAAAACAAGAATCTGTGATTTCAAAAACGTTCAACCACATTAAGAAAAAAACTTCCTTGCCCTGGCCAGTTTGGCTCAGCGGTTAGAGCGTCGGCCTGCGGTCCCGAGAGACCCGGGTTCGGTTCCCGCTAAGGGCATGTGCCTCAGTTGCAGTTTGTCCCCGGCCCTGGTTGGTCGTGCGGGTGGCAGCCACTCGATGTGTCCCTTTCACATCGATGTTTCTCTCTCTCTTCCTCTCTCCCCCTCCCACTCTACCTGAACAAAAAATAGAAAAATGTCCTCAGGTGAGGATTAAAAAAAAAAGAAAAAAACTTCCTTTGGGAATGTCTGCATTTTGCTGGTGTCATTCTAAAGGTAGAGCAATAGTAGTAAAACACTCAAGGTAGTGAAGATACTTTGCCTAGAAAATGAAACCAATGGGCTTCTTTTCAGGGGTTCCCTATTTCCTATTCTTTCCAAGTACATACTTCACCAGAAAATGAACAAACAGATGTTTTGAAAACTTCAGGGAAAAGTCTGAAAGTATTTTACTTATCCAGGGGAATTGAGATAAAGAGGCTAGTTATTTAAGGGCTATGGTTCCCTTAGAACAAACAAATTCTGTTAATTTCTTTTGAAATACTCACACTGGCAGAAGGATCCTGCATGGATTGGCACCACCTGACTGCTTCTACTGTACAAGATCGCACGGTCTCTGTACGGCCATGATAGAAAAGTCTTGTGCTAGCCGTTTCATAGCAGCAAGCAGGGCTACAAGAAGAAAAAAATTAAAATAAGAAAATGTATCATGCCCTAGCTGGTTTGGCTCAGCGGTTAGAGCGTCGGCCTCCGGACCAGAGAGTCCCGGGTTCAGTTCTCACTAAGGGAACGTACCTCAGTTGCAGTTTGTCCCCTGGCCCTGGTTGGGATTGTGTGGGTGGCAACCAGTTGATGTGTCTCTCTCACATCAATGTTTCTCTCTCTTCCTCCCTCTCTCCCTCTTGCTCTTTCTGAAGATAAATGCAAAAATGTCCTTGGATAAGGATAAAAAAAGAATGTACCATAATAAAAAAAAATGCTCTAATGTTATTACAAAAAGAGATTACCTAATAAAGCTGGCTTTGGTCAGAGACTAAGTTCTATTGCAACAGACTACAGTTGAGACTTTCAACACCAAAGATAATATTTCCAATATCAAAGAACAAAAAATACTCTGGTACACAGGGCCTGGTATAACATGGAATGTTTCAAAGGTTGGTTGCTGTCAGGTCATACACACTGGAGTCTGTGGTGGATGCCTCTATGACGCCTGCCTCCCAGTGATCCTTACCTCTTGTTATTTATGTTCCTCACTTTGAATGTGAGATGGATTTAGTGACTTACTTCTAATGAAAAGTATTATGATAAGTAGTGGGATGTCACTTCTGAAATTAGGTTACAAAGAGAGCTCTCTTTTGCTCTCACTACCCTCCTCTGAGGAAAGCCACCTGCCATGCTGGGAGCTGCCCTATAGAGAGGCCCAAGTGGCAAGAAACCGAGGGAGGTCTCTGGACAACAGCTTGGGAGGAACAAAACCCCACTCATACCCATGTGAGTGAGCATGGAAGCAGATGCTGTCTGAAGAGTACCTTCAGATGAGATCACAGCCCTGGCTGACACCTTGACTACCACCTCGCAACAGACCTGAAGTAAGAGGCACCTAGCTAAGCTGCAACTGGATTCCTGACCAACAGAAATGTGAGATGATATGCCCTGGCCAATGGAACTCAATTGGAACATGGTCCCCTGCACTGAAAGGTCACTGGTTCAATTCTTGGTCAGGGCACACACCCAGGTTGAGGGCTTGATCCCTGGTTGGGGTACATGTGGAAGGCAGCCAATCAATGTTTCTCCCCCTCTCTCTCCCTTTCTCTCTCTGAAATCAATAAAAAAAAATTATTAAAAAAAGAACAAAGTAAATGTGAGATGATTAATCTATGTTGTTTTAAGCCACAAAATTGACAAACCTTTATCTCTATGACTAAGGAAAAAAAGGGAGAAGACCTCAATTACTAAAATTAGCTGTGAAAGAGAACATTACTACTGACTTTACAGAAATACAAAAGATTATAAGTTAACAGTATAAACAACTGTATACTAAAAAGTTGGATAACCTAGATGAAACAGATATATTCTGAAAAACCTGCAAACTTTCAAATATGACTCAAGAAAAACAGAAATCTGACTGGACCTATAAAAATTAAGGAGATGAATAAGTAATCAAAAACCTCCCAATAAAGAAATGTCCTGGACCAGATGATTTCACTGATAAATTCTAACACTTAAAGAATTAAAATCAGTTCTTCTTAAACTCTTCAGAAAAAAAAAAAAGCTGAAGAGGAGGGAATCCTTTCTAACTCATAATGAGGCCAATATTACTCTAATTCCAAAACCAGTCAAAGATACTACAAGAAAAGACACTATAAACCAAAATTCTTTATGAATACAGACTCAAAAATCCTCCACAAATTATTAGCAAACTGAATTCAGCAGCATATTTAAAAGGCTAATACAGCCTCACCAAGTGGGATTTATCCCAGAACTGCAACAGTGGTTCTACAAATGAAATCAATCAATGTAATATACCTCATTAACAGAATGAAGGAAAAGATCATGTGATAATCTCATCAGATGACCAAAAAACAAAAAACACTGTTCCATAATAAAAACACTTAATAAACTACAAAGAGAAGGGAACTTCCTCAACACATCAGAGGACATTTATGAAAAACCTACAGCTAATACCATAGTGAATGGTGAAAGATTAAAACTTTCCACCTAAGATGAATAAGAAGAGAGGATGCCTCTTTTTGTCACTTCTATTCAACATGGAACTGGTTGTTGTAGACAGACAAAGCCTACTGTGACAGCCAAAGTAGTGAAACAAAGACACAAATGCCAAATGAAGGAACAAGAGACCTCTACTGAAGATGAGATAAATGAGGGGCAATTAAGCAAGTTAACAGAGCTACAATTCAGAGCCATTATCTTGAGGAAGCTCAACAGCATGGGTAGGGACATCAATACCATGAGTAAAGACATAGAAATGTTGAAAATCAACCAATTGGAAATTAAAAACCACCAAGAAGAAATGAAGAAAGACATATCAGAAATGAAGAACACATTGGAAGGTCTAAACAGCAGACTAGAGGAAGCTGAGGACCGGATCAGTGAACTAGAAGACAGGGTAGAAAAAAAAAAATCAACCAATCAAAAAACCAAAAGAAAAAAACAATTTAAAAAAAGGAAGACAGCTTAAGAGAACTGTGAGATAACTGGAAACGTAATAATATTTGCATCATAGGAGTCACCGAAGAAGAAAATGAGCAAGGATTAGGGAATATATTTGAAGAAATAGTGACAGAAAACTTTCCTAATTTGGTGAAGGAAGAAGGCATTCATGTTCAAGAAGCACAGAAAGCCCCAAGTAAGAAGAACCCAAACAGGCCCACACCAAGACACATAGTAATTAAAATGCCAAAAATTAAAGACAAAGAGAAAATCCTAAAAGCAGCAAGAGATAAGCAACAGGTTACCTACAAAGGTATCCCCATAAGGCTCTCAGCTGACTTCTCAACAGAAACACTACAGGCCAGAAGGGAATGGCATGAAGTAATCAAGGTCATGAAAAACAAGGATCTGAATCCAAGACTACCCTACCCAACAAGGCTATAATTCAAAATAGAAGGTCAAATAAAGAGCTTCCCAGACAAAAAAAAAGGCTAAGAGAATACATTAGCACCAAACCAGCACTGCAAGAAACGTGAAAAAGACTGCTGTGATTAGTAGAAGAAATAGGAAGAAAAATATAACCACACTAACAAAAATAGCAATAAATAAGTACATATCAATAATCACCTTAAATGTAAATGGACTGAAAGCTCTGATAAAGACACAGAACAGCTGATTGGATAAGAAAGCATAACTCAGCTATATGTTGTTAACAAGAGACTCACCTCACAACAAAAGACTCACATAGGTTGAAAGTGAAGGGATGGAAAAAATCTTCCAAGCAAACGGAAAGGAAAAAAAAGCTGGGGTAGCAATACTCATATCTGATAAAACAGATTTCAAAATGAAGGCCATAACCAGAGACAATAAAGGTGATTACATAATATTGAAAGGATCTATCCAACAGAAAGATATAACCTTGAGAAACATATATGCACCCAATATAGGAGCACCAAAATATATTAAAAATCTTCTGGAGGCCCTGGCCGGTTTGGCTCAGCGGTTAGAGCGTCGGCCTGTGGTCCTGAGAGACCCGGGTTCGGTTCCCGCTAAGGGCACATACCTCGACTGCGGTCTGTCCCCGGCCCTGGTCGGTTGTGCGGGTGGCAGCCACTCGATGTGTTCCTTTCACATCGATGTTTCTCTCTCTCTCTCTCTCTGTTCCTCTCTCTCCCTCCCACTCTACCTGAACAAAAAATGGAAAAATGTCCTCGGGTGAGGATAAAAAATAAATAAATAAATAAATAAATAATCTTCTGGAGGACTTCAAAGGAGAAATCGACAGCAATACAATCATAGCAGGGGACTTCAACACCCCACTGACATCTCTGGATAGATCCTCTAGACAAAAAATTAGCAAGGAAACAGAGACTCTAAATGAAACACCAGACCAAATGGATTTAATAGATATCTACAGAGAATTGTACCCCAAAACTAGAGAATTCACATTCTTCTCAAGTGCACATGGGACATTCTCAAAGACAGACCACGTGTTAGGACACAAACTAAATCTCTATAAGTTCAAGAACACTGAAATCAGATCAAGCATCTTCTCAGATCACAATGGCATGAAACTAGAAATCAATTGCAACAAGAACATGCAAAGACATTTCAACACATGGAGGCTAAATAGCATATTATTGAACAATAAATGGGTTACCATGGAGATCAAGAAATTAAAAACTGGCCGCCATCAACAAATCATCAAACAAGTGTTGGCGAGGGTGTGGAGAAAAGGGGACTCTGGTACACTGCTGGTGGGAATGCAGACTGTTGCAGCCACTATGGAAAACACTATGGTGTTACCTCAAAAAATTAAAAATTAAACTTCCATTTGACCCAGTGATCCCACTTCTAGGAATATACCCTAAGAAGCCTGAAACACCAATCAGAAAGAATATATGTACCCCCATGTTCATAGCAGCACTATTTACAATAGCCAAGATCTGGAAACAGCCCAAGCATTCATCAGTAGATGAATAAATTTAAAAAGCTGTGGTACATATACACAATGGAGTACTATGCAGTTGTAAGAAAGAAAGAGCTCTTATCCTTTGAGACGACATGGAGGGACCTGGAAAGTATTATCCTAAATGAAACAAGCCAAACAGAGAAAGACAAATATCACATGATCTCACTTATTTGTGGAATATAATGAACACAGTCTGAGGAACAGGGTAGACCCAGAGACATAGAAGTAGGGTACTGACTGACAACCCTCAGAACAGGAGGTGGGGGGAGGGAAGAGATAAACCACAGAACTTATATGCATGTATGCATAACCAATGGACATGGACAACAAAGCCGAGGATGGGGTGGGGGGTTAGGGAGGAGGGTGTCAATGGGGTAAAAAAGGAGAAACATTTGTAACAAAAATAAAATAAAATAAATAAATAAAATAAAATATTTGGGATTAAATTTAACCAAGGAGCCCTGGCTGGTTTGGGTCATCAGTTAGAGCACTGGCCCTTGGACCAAAGGGTCTTGGGTTTTATTCTGGTCAAGGACACGTACCTGGGTTGCAGATTTGATCCTGGCCCCTGTTGGGGTGGTTGGGGTCATGTGGAAGGCAACCAATCAATGTGTGTCTCTCACATTGATGTTTCTTTCTCTCTCTCCCTCCCTCCCTCCGACTCTGTCTAAAAATCAATGGAAAAATATCCTCGGGTGAGGATAAAAAAATAAAAAATAAATAAAAATAAATTTAACCAAGGAGTTGAAAAGGCCTGTACACTGAAAACTGTAAACACTGCTAAAATAAATTTAAAACACATAAATAAATGGAAAGGGACACCCACCTTCATAGACTGAAATACTTAACATTGCCCAAAACAATCCCAGATTCAACTTAATTGCTATCAAAATCCTAATGACATTTTTGCAAAAATGGAAAAACCCATCCTAATATTCTTATGAAATTTCAAGGGACCCAGAATAGTTAAAACTATCTTGAAAAGAACAAAGGTGAAGGACTCACACTTCCAGTTTTCAAAACTTACCTAACTGAAATAAGCCACACAAAAGGACAAATACTATATAATTCCACTTATAGAAAACATCTAGAACAGGTAAATTCATAGAGCCAAAAAGTAGATTAGAGGTTAGCAGGGCCTGGGGCAGAAGGGGAAAGGGAAGCTACTGCTTAATGGGGTGATGAAAAATTTTAGAAACAGTGATGGTGGCACAACACTGTGAGTGTAGTTAATGCCATTGCATTATACACTTAAGAATGGTTAAAATGTTAAGTTTTATTTTATACACATTTTACCAAAATAAAAAAAATAATTACTTAAGGCAAAAATAGTAAAGTACATTGTGAGGTGTATAACATATGTAGAAGTATAATGCATGACAACCACACAGAGAATGGGAAAGGTGGCCCTGGCTGGGTAGCTCAGTTCAAGTGTGGCCCTGGTCAGGGCTCATACAAGAATCAGCAAATGAATGCATAAATGAGTGAAACAACATCTCTCTCTCTCCCCCTTCCTCTCTGTTTTCTAAAATCAATGGAGAAAAATAAAATAAATAAATAAGTAAATAAATAAAAGAATAGGAGTAGTGAAATAGTAAAAGCATTTTGTTTTAAGGTTCTTACATTGTACTTGAAGTGGAAAATTTTATGAAGGTAGAGTGCAATAAATTAAAGATGTGTTTTGTAAATCTTAGTGTAACTACTAATAAAAACCAGCACAGCTGACTATGGAGATAAAATTAGTAAAAAACCACTCTGGTCCTAGCCAGTGTGGCTCAGTTGGTTGGAGCATTGTCGTATGCACTGAAGGGTCACAGGTTCAATTCCCAGTCAGGGCACTTACCCAGGCGGCAGGTTTGATCCCTGGTTAGGATGCATATAGGGGGCAATTGATCAATTTTTCTCTCTCTCTCCCTCTCCCTTCCTCTCTCTCTAAAATCAATAAAATAAAAATTAAAAAAACACTCTATGAATTCAAAAGAAGATAAAAATAAATAAAAACAGATGAGATAAAGACAAAATATACAACGAGATGGTGAATATAAACCCAACCTTACTGATAATTAAATGCAAATGATTTAAACATCCCATTTAAAAACAATGGGAGTTAGCCCTGGCCGGTTTGGCTTAGTGGTTAGAGCCTTGGCCTGTGGTTCCCACTAAGGGCACGTACCTCGGTTGCAGTTTGTCCCCAGTCCTGGCTGGGTCGTGTGGGTGGCAACCACTCTGTCCCTTTCACGTCGATGTTTCTCTCTCTCTTTCCCTCCCATTCTATCTGAACAAAATATCAAAAAATGTCCTCGGGTGAGGATTAAAAATAAAAAAATAAATAAAAATAAAAACACTAGGAGTTAGAATGAAATAGCTATATTAAAGATATGCCCTTGGAGTTCAAGAGTCTGAAGATGGAAAATGAATAGTCCTCACCGTCCATAAAGTCTATAATAGGCCAGCTGAAGTGCAAGCTGAATAAATGTATCAGGGTGAAGCTTCTTCTCCTTGGTTAGCTTTTTGCCAAAAAGTGTAAAGGGACGTGCCACAATTTGCAGATCAGAGGCCTAATAAAAAAAATTAAATGAGAACAGTGAAAAGCACCTGAGGAGAATATCCCAAAGATAACCAGATTATCATTTGCATTGAAGTGATTATTATACATAATGAAAGGTATTAAAATTATGATTTAAGTGTTTCATGCTGTTCTGCTTTAGATGCTAGCAAAGTTTTTATACACAGTAGTTAAAAGAGAAGGCCAGGTGGTTCAGTTGGTTGGAGACATCATCCTGTACACCAAAAGGTTGCCGGTTCAATCCCTGGTCGGAGTGCATACAGGAGGCAACCAATAGAGGTTTCTCTCACATGAATGTTTCTTTCTCTCTCTCGCTCTAAAAAAGTTAATTAAAAAAATATCCTTGGCTCTCCCTCCTGGGAGCATGCCCGCTCCTTCTCCTTCCTCCTCCCTCTCACCATCCCCTGCAGGCATGTCACCTTTACCGCCCTCACTTCTAGGCTCCAAGGGCCCTTCCTTTACCTCTAGCCCATTTCTTCTACAAATTACTTCTACCTCTGTGATTTTCCAAATAAATGTTCTTTTAGAAAAAAAAATATATATATAGCCCGGCCAGTGTGGCTCCCTGGTTGAGTGTTAACCCATGCTCCAAGAGGTTGCCCGTTTGATTCCCAGTAAAGGCACATGCCCAGGTTGTGGGCCTGATCCCCAGTGGGGGGCATGCAGGAGGCAGCCAATCGATGTTCTCTCTCATCAATGTTTCTATCTCTCTCTCTCTCTCTCCCTTCCTCTCTCTAAAATCAATAAAGAAAAAATGTTTAAAAAATTTTATACACACACACACACACACACACACACACACACACACACATCCTCAGGTGAAGATAAGAGAGAGAGATGCCTGGCCAGGGTGGCTCAGTGGACTGAACATCATCCCATGGTCAGGGGTCCAAGTTTGATGTCAGAGCATAGGTTCAGGCTCGATCCCCAGTGGGGAGTGTGCAGGAGGCAGGCAATCGATGTTTCTCTCACCCATGTTTCTGTCTTTCTCTCCCGTCCTCTCTAGAAAATCAATAAAAACATATTTTAAGCCCTGGCCGGTTTTGCTCGGTGGTTAGAGCGTCGGCCTGAGGACCAACGAGTTACAGGTTTGATTCCAGTCAAGGGCAGGTACCTCGGTTGCAGTTAGTCCCTGGCCCTGGTCAGAGTCATTCGGGAGGCAACCAGTCAATGTGTCCCTCTCATGTTAATGTTTCTGTCTCTCTCTTCACCTTCCTCCCACTCTATCTGAAGATAAACAGAAAATATCCTCCGGTGAGGATTAAAAAATGAATGAATGAATGAATAAAAGAGAGAGAAAGCATTACTATCTAGGAGAAAGTAAAAAATCTACCTGCTTGAGATATTTGGCTTTAGCTTGGTTGACGTCATTTAATATTTTCTCATCCACAGTGAAAACAAGCTCCTCTGGAAGTGGTATATCCCGTACTTTTTCTGAACCCTGAAAATTAAGAATTAAGAATATTATGTTCATTAAAAAGTGAGGAGAAAAAGGATAAAAGGATAAAGTATTTGTTTTAACATACCTTCCATCTTCCTTCATTCTCAAAAATCTTCTCATCAACATAAGCGTTGAGGTTTACCATAACCATTGCATCATAAGGAGCATGCTAAAACAAAAATACACAATATTTTAAATACTTTATACCAAGTTGAAATTTGACCCAATATTTTTATTTTATTTTCACTTTTCTTCCATTCATATGACCAAGTGCAGAATTCTCAAATGCCCCTACCTCCTAATGATCAAGGTATGGATATTGTACAATATAGTAACTACTATATTTTATTTTCTGAGAAAGAACAAATATTTAAAGTTGGAAGCACCTAATTAGGGTTCTTGAAGTAATGGGGAGGGTATGAGGTGAACATGAACCATCTAGAGAAAATAGTTGCTATTTGTACTGGAAGTCAAGGCAGGTGTATCAATGCAATGCTAAGATGTTCTGGAATGTAAGAGCACTGTGCAAAAGCAAACGGGGAAGGCAGACTCTCTGAAGGCTAAACAGAGGATGGGTATGAACTTTAGGTAAGGACATAAGCCCACTAGATGAGCATTAAAAAGCGTAACAATTTTGTACACATATCTACAAGAGTGTTCAGAAGTGGCAGAAATAATTCTCAATATTTATGGAATGTAGGAAAGATGGGCAGGTTTGAAAGCTATATTTAGAGAAAGGAACTGCAGCTAGTGAATTTTTGCACCATTTATTTTGAAAAACAAACCTTTTGCCTTATTCATGTTCCTCTGATGACAATGACATCAGATGGCTTTTTTTTCTGTGTTACTGCTACCACTTTACATTTAACAGTTACCAGTCACGAACTGAATGTGTCACTGCTAGCCTTGGGGAGAAAGAAGGTAGGCTTGAAATATAAACCCAGCCCACTTGGGCCCAGGTTCAGAAGGAGGAAGTAGGTGTCTAAAATACCACCTCAACACTACACAGCCCTGCTGCCCGGTATCACAGTGTCCTGTTGTCACATAGGTAGCAGCCACAATATCAGAAAAGGCTCATGAAAGAGGTATTACAAGATGCCCGAGCAGCTGATCCCACCTGTCAGCAACAGCACATGTAAAAAGACTCACAGGTAACTAACAAACCCCTTTCCTAACCGCATCTCACAACTGTGTAGTGCTTTATAGCTTCACAAAGAATTTTCACAGGTATCACATACATTGTTTCATTTAAGCAATAGTATTAATCTCTAACTCTTACTAGAACCAGTTAGAAAGAGCAAGGTTGATGTATATAAATCTGTTCATCTTATAATTCTACCCATCCATCTCCTGATGGAAAGCTAGAAATCAACTTCAATAATTTAGAAAAATATGAAATATTCTAATGCTTTCCTGATGCTTTATTTGTTCACGTAAGTTAGACTATTTTTATTTCATTTATATGAAGGCAATATGTGTAACATACTGTTTAATAATGTGAACTTTGGGCCCTGGCTGGTTTTCTCAGTGGTTAGAGCATCAGCCTGCAGACCAGAGAGTCCCAGGTTCAGTTCCAGCTAAGGGCACATACCTCAGTTGCGGTTCATCCCCAGTCCCGGTTGGAGTCATGCGGGTGGCAATCAGTAGATGTGTCTCTCTCAGGTCTATGTTTCTCTCTCTTCCTCCCTCTCTCCCTCCCACTCTGTCTAAAGATAAATGCAAAAAAAAAGTGTGGACTTTGGTTCTGAGTCCAAACCCCACTATCTGCTAGCTGTGCAATTGTGAGAAAGTTACTTAATTCTTTAAGTAAACAGTCTCATCTATTAGTGAGGATAATACTACCTATTCTCATACAGCTGCTGTGTAAAATGATTTTAATAATGCTTATACAGTGCTTACTACAGAACCTGGCTCACAGCAATAATTAGTAACTACTATTATTATTTTAAAAATATTTCTCCTTTATTGATTTTTTAAAGAGGAAGGGGGAGAGAGAGAGAGAGAAACATTGATGAGAGAGAACATCAACTGGCTACCTCCTACATGTCCCCCACTGGGGATCGGGCCCACAACCTGGGCATGTGTCCTGACCGGGAATCGAACCAGCGACCTCTTGATGCATGGGTTGATGCTCAACAAGTGAGCCACACTGGCCGGGCACTATTATTAACAACTAATTTTTTATTACGTGCTTCTTATGTGCCCTTCACAAAGCCCCATAACAAAGCCTATGTAGAGAAAACAAACTCACTGACCCCAGGATTTTAAATCCCAAGAGGGAAATATGATAAATTAGCATAATCACAAAAGTACATATTCAAGCACCAATGGAAGAGAACAGCAACAGGGTTTTGAATTAAGAACAGCTTTACTTTAAGGATATATACTTTACTAATGATGTTTACGTAGTTTACTTGTATTTTCTGTAACATCTTAGGTTATAAGGGAAACTACGTGGAATTTTAAAAGCAGATTATCATGTAGAGATAATGAGATTGATTTTATAAATATATGGGTGTTAATGCATATATGTAAAACATGTCCATATACAGGAAATTATCTCAGTTGTGTTGAGATGTACACTCATAATGGGACCAATATTCTTTATTCAGAGATAGAAAAAATCATTAAAGTTATTTTCATTCTGAATTTGAGCAAACAGCAGGATATTGGTGCTATTAGTAAAATCAAAGTAGTGCAAGGTTTTTGGGGGGATTTCAGAATGAAGGAAAGCAAGATGATGAGTTCTTGATGACAGCAACTCAGCCCCATGTAACAATGTAACATCCAGTTTGAACAATTTAATATACAATGAAACAAAACTCTCAAAATGAGAATAGGTAAAAACTGGAAAAGTCTAACTATAAGTCATCTATATAAAAAATGGCCAATAAAAGTATTAGACCAAGGAAGACAACAGGCACAGGGGGAAAAGTATGACTAATATTAAGGTCAGTTTTAGAACAGACAGATAGGGGATAACTAATAAGAGCCATATGAGGAAGAGGTTGATTGACTGCAGCAGACAGATCAAAGAGAAATGGAGGGCAAAAGCCAGGCGGCAGTTAGCTACTTTACAAAGGATAGTTTCCAGGGACTAGTCAGGATATAAAACCAGACTGAGGTGAAGTAGAATCAAACGAGGAGCTAAAGAGAAGAAAACTGAAGCAATTAACAAGAAATATTTTGTCAACACTGGACTCCAAGAAGAGCAAAGACAGCAAAACTTCAAAATGACTCATGGCAACCCTTTACTCTGATGAACTACTATAACAGACATCTAGTTTCATGACCTGCTCATCAACCATTCCACCTTTTTATATGGTAACAATGTTATTTTTCTTTAGGCAACCACCACATATCTTTGAGGTGGTCTCAATAAGAGTGACTCTGCCCCTAGGTTCCAAGATTTGGCATATAACCCAGACCAGGTGAATCAGAGTACCTGATTCCCTGGAATAGGCATATGATTCACACTCACCAATGACAACCAATGATCATTATTCTTAGGACCTTTGCTGGAACCACTGGGGGGAAAAGCTGGCTATTTCCATAGGGAACATTAATCTATGAAGAGAGCTGTGAAGACATGCTATTGTGGATGTAACAATCACATGGGGTAGTCTACCTAAAATAAAGCCAAACATACAAAAGTAGTACCAAAAAATGTAAAGAGTAATTTTTAATGAAAGCATCTGGACACTGGAAGTCACCCTTACTCAAATTTAGCTGCCCCCCTACGTCAACAGATATGGTCTTAAGCAAATGCCAGTTTGATTTAGGTTTCTATCACCTAAAACTGAATAAATACTGATTAATACAACCATTGAACCCATATCAATGTAGTATATTACAGTTACTAAATGTTTTTAGAGGAAGGCCACCAAAAAGAAAATGGCAAAGTAGAGCTAATGAGGAAGACCATGGGAGAATAGAAGAGTAACAAGAAAAACATTTTTTGCTGTTGTTTTTTATAAAGAAGGTAAAAATAGTATTAAATACTAAACATTTTAATATCCATAGTGTAAATAATGTTCCATAAAGCATACGTCATTTTAGGAAAATTACTAAGTAAATCTAGAAATATATCCATATATATTTGTCTGTGCAAAGAATATATTTATATAATGTTCTATAAATATCTTTTAAAATAGGTTGTACTTCTCAACAGTGAATTTTTAAAAGCTTATACTACATGAAATTCCACTTTGCAAATACCCACCAAACTATTAGCTTTACTACAGATGAAAATAAATTGTCCTATACTCTACTTTCACTGAGAATTCATAACTAAACTTTTTATAATGCCATAAAACCAAAGAAGTATTTATTCATACTACCACATCACAGTATAAGTACTATAGCTTATTGTCATCAAATCAACCTAAAAGATTAAAAGGAAAAAATGACTTCAGTAATTTACTTACATCACAATTAGAGCCAAATACTCCATTAGAAAATGAAATCAAGTTAAAAGATTTATCACCCCAGCGTACTGTTGGATCTCCAGTGAGGCACATTTTCATCGCCTAAAATACATTTAATATTTCAAAATTAAAAGGATTTTAATATTGATGTATAAGTATTGTCATATGTGTGTGTATGTATACATATACATATACATATACATATACATATACATATACATATACGTATTTTTTTCCCCCCTCACTTTTCCCTTTCAGGTAAACCAAATTTAATAAATGGTAACAGTTATAACAAGAGATAGTAATTCTGGTCCTGACTTTAGATGTTTCTTAAAAATCTCAAGAAAATCTTCCATAAAAAAGAATGCTGGTACAATATTCATAAATGTTTAGAGAGCATATAATTGAAAGGACAAGGTTTTTGCAACTTGAATTGTGTTAAGAAGCCTTGATCAGTTCAGTCATTAGAATTTAGTTACAAGAAAAATATTTTCAGAATTCAGATTCCACTATACCTGTTCCTCAAATGGTAGGTTTTGGCTCATGAGTGAGTCATGAAATCAATTTAGTGCATCACAGTAAACATTCTTTACAAAAAGAAAGAATAAAATAAAACAAATATTCTAGTGCATCACCGACAGTAAAAGTAATTACTGTTCTGTGAAACTTCTCATATACATGTGATATATGTGTGTACACAAGTGTGTGTAGTGGGCTGCAATCTAAATGCATGTCTAACTGTAGATCGCAGTAAAAAATTTTGAACAATACTGCATTAAAACATATTCTTCCTCAAGAAGTTTGGAGATTCTTTTGCTAAAAAAATAAAATAAAAATAAAGAAGAGGAAAAGTTGATTTCTAGCTATAAAATTTTCAATTCCATATTATTTTATTGCTATGATTTAATATTGATGAATGCATTATGAAATAATTTAAGTGTTTTTAAAAGACTATGAGACTTTTAAAAATATGACTATTACCTTTTATTATTTTCCAGGAAATAATACTATTATCCCAGGGGGCGGAGGGAGAAGTAAGGCCATATTTACCCTTAAACTAACTATATTCAGTTTGTTCAATAAAACCAAATGATAAAATTAATTACTTATAGTTACTATGTGATATGAAAACAATAGTCATACTTCTTTAAATAACATACAAGTTTTATCTAAATGGACCCAAACAAAGTGGCAAGAATTAACAAAACATTCTTTATTATAAATTTCAAATTGGTATATGTATATATCATAGCTAAGAAAACATTTTAACAGCCTGCCTATAACAAAAAAAATCTTCTCATGCTCAATAGATACAAGAGTCCTCCAGAAAAATTTGTGGGAAGAAATAACAGAACAAGATAGTTAAGTACCTGTGAAAAATCTTCTGATGTTGCATATGGACTGCTATCCTCTAAGGAATATACCAGTAAACTGCTCTGAATTTTTTCCAACATAGTCAAGTTCTCTGGATTAAGACTAATCAAATATTCTCGTGCCTAAAGGGCAAGGAGACAATGATTAAATGTCACAAATTAGATATACTATATCTAGGAAGGAAAAGGTTCATTAAGAAAGTATATAATTAATAACAATGTATTGGATATTTGAAACTTGCTGGGGATAGATCTTAAAGTTTCTCATCACAAGAAAAGAAAACTGTAACTATGTGGAAACGTTAACTAGATATTGTGGTGATTATTCCACAATATATACAAATATCCAATCATTATGTTATACACCTGAAAACCATATGATATATGTCAATTGCAGCACAATAAAAAAAAAAAAGTGTAAATTATAACCTTTGCCCATTGAGTTCGCTCCTCGCTAGTTAATGCTGCTATCCCAGGTCCATCAGGTTCACTATGGCACTTCTTGTGGATGTATGTCAATTGCCTTATGGAAGATGAAAGAAAGAGGATTCAAAAAGAGCATAGGAAGGATCACCGGCTACTTTGGTCTTTAATAGGTCATAGTGTTTAAATGTTTTGATATGTTATCCAAAGAAAGGGATTATAATCTCAACAGCAATGAATTTCTTTCCAATACCACATCATTTTTTAAAAATGATTACAAGACAAATTAACACCAAAGTGTTATTTGACAATAACTTAAGTAAATAAATTAAGTTTGACTGACATAATTTATACTTTCAAAATGGACACGCACTTCCGGGATCTAAGTACCCCTTCCACAACGGAGAACTTGAGTAATAGTCTGGTAAATAATCTCACAAATATCATACACATTTATCTAACTGAAAACTGTGTATTTATATATATTTAAAAGAGGGCTGACTCTATACCCAATATTTGTGTTTAACCCAATAAACATTAAGTACCATGTAGTCACGTGTTGTTACTTAAAACCATTATATTTTAAAGACTCTATTAGCTAAGAATAAATTTTCTTCCCTCATAGCTTTCTATACTCCCAGTCTGGTGAGTTTCATATATTTTTAAACATATGGCAGGGAAATAACAGGGTTCCTCCATAAAGAAATAAATTTTTATCAGTCAAAAATCCACAGAGGTTTAGTTTCAGCCTTACTTCCTCACAGCACATGCTAAGAAGTTACTTCAATTAAAAGCTTCCAAGTGTTTCTCAGAAAGTGAGCTAATGTAGCTTAATAAATGGTCAAAAGGCACCATTAGTAGCTATCATTTATTTGTGGCTTTTTCATTCAAAACTAGAAATGAAATTTAATTTGCACATTTTCCTCTGTTCCTTAATTATTTCCATAATACTGAAGAAGAAATAAATTCCTCCCTCTTTATTTGAACACTAATGGAGGCCTGGGGAGCACAGGAGGGCTTCTTCTAACAATCTACATCTGAGTGGGAGCCACTGGCTTTGCCGCTCCCTGCTTACCTGTCTGCTAACTCTGATTTTGCTTTAATTACAAATGAAGTTTCTATATTTGGTAGTTATGTGGTGAGCACAGTAACTAGTATGACTTCTGAATGCTAAAGTAATAAAATCTACCTCAGTCTTTTTTTCCATGTGGTATAGGTTGCTGCTCTTCCTTTATCACCTCATATCACCAGTTTTGACTATGAAACTTTCTCCTGCTCCCTGATATGACCATTTTCATATTCAGTGGAAAATGACCACCTCATAAAAGGTAGTCATTATCACAGAGAAATCACCAGGGAAAATGTGTTAAACCCAAAATGACTTGTTAAGTTTGATCATAATAGATCAGATAACAACCGCCTAAATCTTCACCATTAAGAAGCCCAGCTCTGGCTTGTTTGGTTCAGTGGTTATAGCGTCAGTCCTCAGACGAAAGAGTCTTGGGTTCAATTCTCAGCCCTGATCAGAGTCATATAAGAAGCAACCAATCAATGTCTCTCTCTCTCTGTCTCTCTGTATTTCTCTCTCCCCTTCCTTCCCACTCTATAAAAAAAAAAAAAAATCAATGAAAAAATATTCTTGGGTAAAGATTTAAAAAAAAAAGAAGCCCAAAGCAATCTACTGATTCAATGCAATCCCTATAAAAATCCCAATGCCATTTTTCACAGAAATAGAAGGGAAAAAAATCCTAGAAATCACAAGAAACCACACACACACAAAAAAAAACAAAACCCAAAAACAAAAACAAAAAAACTATGACTAGCCAAAGCAATTCTGAACAAGAACAACAATGCTGGAGGTATCACACTTCCTGATTTCAAAATAAGTTTATTACAAAACTATAATAATCAAAACAGTATGGTATTGGCATAAAACTGGACACACCAGTGGAACAGAATAGCGAGCACCCAAATAAATCTACGTAGATATGGTCAACTGAGGTTGCCAACAGTGCCAAGAATACACAATAGAAAAAGGATAGTCTCTTAAATAAACGGTGTTGGGAAAGTTGGATTGCACATTCAAAAGAATGAAACTGGACCTCTATCTTATACCATACACAAAAATCAATTCAAAATGGGTTAAAGGGCCCTGGCCAGTTTGGTTCAGCGCTTAGAGAGTCAGCCCACAGACCGAGGTGTCTCAAGTTTGATTCCCAGTCAAGGGCATGTCTCTGGGCTGCAGGTTTGATCTCTGGCCTGGTCAGGGTCATGCAAGAGGTAGCCAACTGATGTGTCTCTCTCACGTTGATGACCGTCTGTCTCTCTGTCTCTCTCCTCCTCCTCCTCCTCCCTTCCATTCTATCTAAAAATCAATGAGAAAATATCCTCAGGTAAGGATTAACCCAAAACAAACAAACAAAATGGATTGAAGGTTTAAATGTAAGACCTCCAACAATAAAACTCCTAGAATGGAGGAAAAAGCTTCTGACATCAACCTTGGCAAGCATTTCTCGGATATGACAACAGAAGCACACACAACAAAAGTAAAAATAAATGAGATTAATATCAAACTAATAGCTTCTGTACAGTTAAACAACAAAAGGCAACCTACAGACTGAGATAATATTTGCAAACCATATATCTGATAAGAGGTTAATATCCAAATCATATAAGGAACTCCTACAATTCAACAGCAAAAAAACAAATACATAATCTGATTTTTAAAATGGGCAACTGAATAGACATTTTCCAAAAAAGATATATTCAGACACCTAGAAGCAGAGTAGAAGGGACTGGGGTAAGTAGGAGACTGGGGAGGTATTAGTCAAAGGATAAAAGTTTTAGTTATACAAGATGAGTGAGTCCTGAAATGCACTATACAGCACAGTGCCTAGAGTTAACAATACTGTATTGGATATCTAAAATCTGTTAATAGGGTAGCTTTTATGTTAAGTGGTCTTATCACAAAAAATTTTTTTTAATACTAAAGAGGGTGGAAAACTATTGGAAATGATGGATATGTTTATGGTTAAACAAAAAACTATAGTATGTCCATTTGATGGAATTTTATGCAACAGCTAGAAAAAAATAATTCTATTCAACAGTTAAAAAGAATATGACACTATTACTGTCATATAATGGACAAAAAAACAAACTGCAGGAAATGTCTAAAATAAAACTATTTTTTTAAATGTGTAAAACTACCCATTCCTCATGCCACAAACAAAAATCAATTCTAGGCAGACTGTTAATGTAAATGTGCAAGGCAAAACAATAAAACTCTAGAACACAATATAAGAAAATATCTTGACACTGGGTAAGGGAAATTTTTTTAAAACCAAGACACGAAAAGTATAATCCATATGGTAAGAGATTAATAAATTGGACTACCTTCAAATTAAGAACACTTGTTGGTTAGACATACCTTTAATAGAAAAGGGCAGTGATAAACATGTACTCTGTGATTTTCAACACATAAAGCCAACAAAAATGAATCAAGAACTCCTATAACACTCATATACTAGTGGAAGTGCTTATTAGTATAATTATTTTTGGAAAACTGGTATTGGCTACTTAAGAAAATGTACACATACCCTAATACTCAGCAAGTTCTCTCCTGGGTGTGCTGAGACAGAAATGCAGGCATCAAAATACTTATACAATAATTTCCACAGGCAGCAATTTTTTGTATAATAAAAACTGTAAGGCCCTAGCCGGTTCGGTTGAGTGGTTAGACCGCTGGCCTGCAGACCAAAGAATCACGGGTACGATTCCAGTCAAGGGCACATACCTCGGTTGCAGTTTGTCCCTGGCCCTGGTTGGGGTCATGCAGAAGGCAACCAGTCGATGTGTCCCCTCTCATGTTGATGTTTCTCTCTCCCCCCAACCTACCTCTACCACTCTATCTGAATATAAATGGAAAAATATCCTCAGATGAGGATTAAAAAAAAACACATTGTAAGAAACCTAAACAAGTACCCTTGGGAAGGAAGAAAAGCATAGTAACTGGGAAGTGTAACCAGGGGGATTTCTGGAATACTGGAAATGTTCTGTCTTGACCTGTATTTAGCTGTATACTTGTGTGTGCTTTTGTATACTTTTGAAATAACTTAATAAAAATAATTTTAAATATATGCAGATACAGCCTGTCTGGAGTGGCTCAGTAGATTGAGTGTCATCCCATGCACCAAGAGGTCCCAGTTTGATTCCCAGTCAGAGCACACGCCCGGGTTGTGGGCTCGATCCCCAGTAGGGGACATGCAGGAGGCAGCTGATCGGTGTTCTCTTACATCGATGTTTGATGTTTCCATCTCTCTCTCCCTCTTCCTTCCTCTCTCTCTAAAAATCAATAAAGAAAAAAAATATATATATATATACACAGATAGATATAGCTCAACATTTATAAGACAATCTATGACATTTGAACAACTGATTACACATTAATGATGTTAAAGAATTAAGTTCTTAGAAGCAGCAACTCATTCAGTGTGTTAATAGTAGTTTATGTGTAGATTTTTAAGAGTCTCTATATTTTAGAGATACATACTAAAATATTTATAGTGAAAGGATATTATGTTTGAGATTTTCTTTAAAATAATCCATGGGAGAATGGGGAGAGGGTCACAAGAAGGTAGAGCTGAAACAAGAAATGAATTTATCATTGTTGAAGCTAGAAGCTGGTTACTGTTGGAGCAGGGGAAGAGTACATGAAAGGGCTTCATTATATAATTCCCTCTACATTTTTAAATTTTCCATAACACACTTTAAAAATACAAACATACAAAATAATACTATAGTACATACTATATACTACTATATGTACAATCTATTAGAATGTATGTAATACATACTATACATGAAATACACATATATTTTTAAATCTGTATGTACATATAAGTAGATATGGAAGGCTAGAATACACCCGACTAGTAACGATGATTAATTCTAGGGCAGCAAATGAGATTGATAGTATCTGTAATGTTTTCCTTTTCTCCAAGTAGAATATGTTCATATATGCCTAGTAAAGTTAAAAATAAATTAATATAAAAAATGTTTTAATTCAGCATATATAAAATTATTTTTCTGTCACCTTATAAATAGGCAATTCTAAATATTTACTTTTTAATTCATGCAAAAGCTTAAGACCTAACAAGATTCAAGAAAGTCGTCTAAAAACCTGAGAATCTCTGGTGGAGTGATCAAACATCCTTCATGCATTGCATCAAAGACAAAAACTCGGCCTCGACACAGCACTGCAATGTGACTTGGGGAACACCCTTCACTCTCTGAAAAAAATACAGAAAACACAAAACCAAATCTCTCAAAGTTAACCAAGAGTAAAGTTGCATATTTAAATTCAATAGAAAAAAAACATTCCTCCAATATTTTACTTATCATGTATTCAATAGATCACATGAACAAAACATTTTAATGAGGTGATGGAATTCCAGTTATTATGATATAAATACATACTATCGAAACTTGTCCATGTGAAACATCTAGAAATCCATGGGAGTTTCAAATATTTATAGTAACTTGAGATTCATATAAATCCCAAACTACTGCAGGACTTTATAGTTTTATGTATGGATAGGAATGGGTGCAGAAAAGGGTAGTGGAGGGATCCTGGAAGAGAATTATTTAAATTAACAAGCTTCCTTTTGGATTAATGTTGAATGCTCATTTGATCATTTAATTGCAACAATATCTAGCTATGATTTCTCAATGAAATAGTTTTCAGTATAACAAGAGAAAGAGTTTTGCCCAGTGTGTAGTTTTATTGAAGGCTCTGATAATACCAATAAGCCACTGATTACACTGGTAACTGACTGTGTTTCCTTTGGCACACCTTAACACCCCAAGAACTGTTTGCTGTACACCTCAGACTATTCTGATTCAGCCCTATTTTTCAAGTACTAGTCCCTTTAGCAAGGGTCCTCCTGTATGACCCCTGCTCCTTCCCTCTAAGAAAGGGGGGGAAAGTGAAAGAAAAGTTAAAAAAGACAGGTACTGCCACTGGAAGGAAATGCAGTGGTTGATACTATGTACAAGAACTGTGCCAAAAATATTACACACGTCATTTCATGAAATCCATTCATTAAATATGAGGAAGGGCCATCTTCTGATAGGACTACTTATTTCCCTACATCCTGTTTCCTCAAGTTATAGGCGATGAGGAATGTGTTTTCCTGGTCCCTCATGACTACTCGCAAACCCATTTCAGACGGCAAGATCAGTTAGGAAGTAACTATAGTGGTCCAGGTGAAAATGATTTAAGGGGAAGGTGATGGTGGCTTTGACTGGGGTGTGACACTTGAAGGAGACAAGAGGTCAATTTTTTCTCTTTTGAGAAGATATTATAGATTGGAACAATCCAGTAAGACATGAAAACTGATAAGGCAGCACAGAGAGAAAGGATAATCCAGAGCAAGGTCCTTGATTAGGCAAGGGGGGGGGGGGGGGGCAGTATACCACACAAAAGGGTTGTCCTAAGGAGTCAGAATAGCTTGTCCATTTGTAAAAAGGGAAGGAAACATATATATGACTGCGCAATAGTGTATTGCAAAGGGTTGTAGGATGGGAAAATACTTAAATAAGGAAATTTTCTATGACTGCTGTAATAAATTCCCACTAACAACACAACTTATTATCATACAGGTCTGGAGACTAGATGTCAGAAATGTGTCTTATTGAGCTAAAATGAAGATGTCAGCAGGTCTGTGTTCTTTCCGGAGACTCTAAGGGAGAATGTTTCCCTCACTTTTCTAGCTTCTAGAGACTGCCCACATTCCTGGGTTCATGGCTCCCTTCCTCCATCTTCAAAGTCATCAAGGGGAAATCATGACTTTCTCCTGCTGCTATCTCTTCTGCCTTTTTCTTACACGTATAAGGCCTCTTGTGATTACTTTGGGCCCAACTGAATAATCCAGGATAATCTCTCCATTTCAAGGTCAATTTATTAGCAACCTTAATTCTTCTTTACCATGTAAGCTAACACATTCAACAGGTTCCAAGGACTAGAAGTGGACATCCTGTGTGTGTGTGGGGAGTGTAACTCTGCCTACCAGATAGGCTGGTAAATTTGGGAATGGAAAGATTGCTTTACATTTGTTGAGAACAAAAAAAGAGTTCAGAAGCTGAGAATAAGGAAGGAGAAAGGCATAAGTCTGGGAGTGAGAAGAACCTGGCAAAAGAATAAGGCAGAAAGGTAATTAATGTGGGTCCAGCTGACGTTTAACTGAGAAAATTAAGCAAAAAAGGAGAGAGAGAGAGAGAGAGAGGGAAGTAAGTGAGGTTTTGTGGTTTTCTCTGGCTAAGTACATTGCTACGGTAGGTATCTAGCATATGTAGAGGTAAAACAAAAGATTGAAATTTAAACAGTGTTATGGAGGGGGTGTGGTAGGGAGGAAGTAGGTGGGCAAAAATTTCAATGTGTATGCAAGGGAGTGATTACAGTGAGGAACCATAGAAAGAAGTGAAGTCTTGGGATGGAGGAGGATGGGATGAAACTGTGAAGAACTGCAGGACAACTGAATTGTAAGTCACAAAGTGGTCAAAGAAATAGCTGAGGTGGACTACTAAAGGAAGTAAGTTTTGAAGAGAAGGTGGGTATCTCACTGAGATGCTTATAATTACGATATCAGAGGTGATAGAGTTCTTGATAATAGCAAGGTTTAAAGCATGACTATGGGAGTGGGTAGCTGCTTGAGATAGAGTGAAGACACAGATTCTTAGAGGAAGAAAGTCAAGAAAAGGAGAAGGCACGAGTCATCTACAACTGGAAGCTCGAGTCATGAAGAATGTGACTTAAGTAATAAAGGAAAGACAATGAGACTGGTGCTAAAACAACCAAAGGAGGGGAATGAGCAAAAGGAAAGCCACTAAAACAATGACAAACAGTAGTGATATAACCTGAGAGCATTTTTTAAGAGCTTAAATGATAAGAAGGGGGAAAAAAAAAAAGTGCAATGGGAAATAGAGAGGACATGAAGATCTCCTACATACCCTCTAGTACCAAAGTATAAGAGAAAACAAAAAAAAATCCTCACTTGAGATGGTTATATGGAAAGCAGTAAGCTCAAAGGATAACCAGGTTTCAGTACCAGTACCTTTCAGAAGGAAACAGACTTTCTGAGAAAAGGTTGAGGATGTGATGAATTTTGCTCCCCGTGAGCTCCAGAAAGTACAGCGAAGGGCTTGGGGGTGGGTCACAGTAGTGGGGAATTTGGATCAAATTAGGCTATGCACAAACCCATGAATCCCTATGGCAAGACATGACATAGAAAGTCTGAACTTTTGGGGCAAAATGAGGTGAATAGGAAGACAGGTAAGACTGAATTAGTCTTAATGGTCTCTCAGGTAATAACTAAAAAAAAATCTAGTTCTAACTACTACCTCCTTACTGAGACTAGCCTCGTAGCCACAGCAGCTTGCTGCCCCCTCCCCCCCACTGACACACAATTTCTTCAACTTTCCCTTATTCAGGATAGATTCCAGCATCCAGCATTATAATTCTCCCCTTGTAAAAACCCTTAAATCCTTCACATCCTCTCTCCTCTGTACCTACCCTTGATTGTTGCTGAAGAAAAGAACCACAATAAATCATCTAGTCTAACTTTAAATTCATAAACACACATTTCAAATGGGCTCAGCTACTTTGCATTTTTATAGCATGTTTGCTTTTCCCAGTTTCCAAAGTGACTATTTCAAACCTCCTTTTCCCTTAAATCTTCCCCCAACCCCCAGGTGATGACCTCAGTTCTTATTTCACCAGGGAAAACACAAAAAATGCACAGGACCTCCTTATCTTCCTATGACAAAACTGTCCAATCCGCCTGCATATAGATGCACACTTTCAGCATTCCCGCTCAACCTGCTCTTGAAGACCGAAGACCAGCCCCTTCACCTTCTGCTCTTGACCTCCACAGCTCTTATATTCTCAAACTCTGGCTTCTTATCCCTTCCCCTGCAAGATTATCTTTCCTTCTCTCCTTGTGTCATTTCTATGATATAATATCATGCATCTTTTAAAAAATATTAAAAAAAAAATCTTCCACTGTACATCACAACTTTCTTCACAAGCATCATTTCTAGGTGTTGTCACCACTTGTTTGTTTTCATCTCCATGTGAGCTCCTTTCTCCAACTTCCACTAAGGCTGCTCTTGTCAAGGGCAGACTTTGTCCACATCACATTGACAAACTCGATGATTACTTTTCATTTTTCCCTTATTTGACCTCTCAAAGTGTTATATAAAATACTTCCTTCTCTTGGCTTCTGGGAAACCACTGCCCTTGTTTTCTTCCTACCTTCGTCTCTTTTGCTGGCTTCTACATCTTATAACCAAATATTAGATTTGACTGTGATAAGAATCAGTAGTGTATTCCAAAAGTAATCTCAGCTACTGTTATGGCTTTAAAACAATTTCTATGCCTGCTAATGATGACCCCTAAATCTTTATCTGCAGTCCTGAATTCTTCCCAGAACTCCAAACTTTGTATCCAATTGCCTACTTAACCTTTCTACTTAGAAGTTTAAAAGGCATCTTTTTTTTTTTTTTCCTTTTCTTTTTTTTTTAATCCTCTCCTGAGAACATTTTTCCATTTTTTGGATGGATAGAGTGGGAGGGGGAGAGAGGAAGAGAAACATCGAAGTGAAAGGGACACATCGAGTGGCTGCCACCCGCATGACCAACCAGGGCCGGGGACAAACTGCAACCGAGGTACGTGCCCTCAGCGGGAATCGAACCCGGGTCTCTCGAGACCGCAGGCCGACACTCTAACCGCTGAGCCAAACCGGCCAGGGCTAAAAGGCATCTTAAACATAACATAGTCTAAGGAAACTCTTGATTTCCCTCCCCTAATTATCTCCTCCCAGTTTTTCCCACCTCATGAACCAGCACACCTATCTACCCCATTAGTTGTACAAGCCAAACATCTTGAAGTAATCTTTAATTCCTGTCTTTTTCTTACATCCCATAAACAATCTATAAAGAATTTTGCTAAGCTTAAATTCAAGATATATCCAGAATCTAGTAACTTTTCACCACTCCATGCTACCACCCTAGTATAAATCATTATTATGGCCCATTTGAACTAGTAAAGCAGCTTTCGAACTGACCCTGCTTCTACACTTGTCTGTATCCTATCTTTTCTTCACATAGCAGGGAGAATGATCTTTAAAATATTAACCTGATCACATCACTCTTTCTCAAAACCTACTAATAGTATCTATTCACATTTAATTTAATTTTTTCTTTTTTTATACCATGTCTCCTTTGTGTGTAACCTGCAACAAATATACACATTTTAAATTAAGGCCAAAAATCTTAGTTGGCTTACAAAATTCTATATCTAGTCACCTTTCCAATTTGCCCCTCCCTACTGCCTACTCTGCTCCATCCACAATGCCCTTCAAACATGCCAAGTTTATTATTCCCAGGGGATTACCTCCCCAACACAAACAAAACATAACATTATTTTATTATCTTATAATTCAGATCCATCATCCCTGACTGCCTAGTCTAAAACAGCCACCCGGTCACTCACGTTATTTGAATTCTCTGTATTGTATTTGTCATCAACTCTCTCATATTTTTCATGTTTACTTATTACCTCAGCTTTATCCTTATCTAGATCTCTTCACACAGCCATAAGTTCAAGAATATACTCACCATGACTGCTTAAGCCACTGCATCAATGGGTACATTGTTAAATTAATGAATACCCATTTTACCTACCATAACTTAAAGAGGTCACGTTATCTAAGGACTTATCATCTACTAGGTGATAAAGACTGAATTCAAAACCAGGTCTACTGATAGTAGTTCTTAACTGATATACATATTATCTCTTTTTGCCACTGTTGTTCTCATATCAATTTTCTCCTATACACTTCTTCCATTCATATTTAGGCATTATGCCAGACATCACTTGCAACATCAAGGTAAATGTGTGTAGGCTTGAGGACATTATCTCAAGCATCTAAAGAGGTTTACAAAGAGGAGTTGAGTTGTATAAGAAAATAAACTGTCTCTCACAACTACAAGCAAAGTTAGCTATAGAAATTTTACTTTTAAATAAAATTGTAAGAAAAATATCCATTCATAATTATATTCCATAGTAATTATAAACTATGTCATTAAATTTATAAAAAATAAAAATTCCTGAAGTAACAAAATTAGCAATTACTGCAACAGAATTTTCCATTTGGAAATACGTTAGGACCAAGCAGAAACTGCCATTAAAATGAAAGTAAAAAAGACTTTGATGAATCAATCTGAACTCATGTGCCTTTAATAATATTGGTACCAGACTCTCACTTCACATAAGAGGAAGAAAAGCATATTCGTAATGAGAGGGGCACGATGAGCACATACAAGCAAACATTCAAAAAGAGACTTCAGATAAAAAGGAATGAGGGTAGAAACAGAAGGACCAATATTCCCCAAATTCCCTAATACTGATTCATAATTCTACTCTTTAACTAAAATTTAAACTTTCAAATGATGTAACATAAGCATGTAAGATACAATTTAGAAAATCCATTCCCATACATTACTTTCAGCTAATCAGAATGACTGAAAGATAAGGTTCATAGAAAACTTCTGAGTCAAAATCCAATAAGAAATATTCTTCAAAACAGTATGTTCCACAGTGTCATAGAAACTACCCAAATCCCAATGGCATTACCAAAGAAAGTACTCGAATTTTTTACTTACCAGTCCTAAAGTAATTCATAATTGAATCTCTAGAAATTCCTGGAACCTTGCAGGTAGAAAATAGCATTCGGAATTGACTCATATCTAGAGGAGTATTTCCAACTTTTTCAACAGGCACTTTTTCCCTATTAAAACAAAACAAAACAAAAAGTATTTTGATTAAGAAGTCATTATAAAACTTATAAACCAAATAGTCACAACTGTAATATTCATCCCCAAATTAGTAAATTAAGCTTCTCAATTTTACCTGAGACTTTGGGTAAATTTTCTACTAAATTCACATAAGTTATCCTTACTTTCTTAACAGCTGCCAGTAGTTCAAGTTATGCCAAAGATTTATACTTCCTCTTTCCAAATGCGTGCCTTCCTTTGCAGGCCAGAAGTGTTCAACATGGTTCGCAGGACCCCCGAAGTTGACATTCAGTTGTGATGGTGTACGGACATCCAAGTAGGCAACATTCAGCCACCACTCTTCCAGCTAGAACAAAGGACATCAGCCTAATGTTACTGATGATATGGGAATGTGTAAAAACAAAAAGTTACTGTCTATACGTGTTTTTTTCCTTTGGAATTATAGGGTCTTAAATACTATTAAGTTTAATTACATTATCAAAAACATGAAACAAAAAGCACTTTCAGACAAATCATATTGAAGTCACAAATACCCAACAGAGTACTTAGGTGTGTTTTCTCAGAGTACCTGGGGTACAATTGCTATTCAATAAATCCTCAAGTAAGGGACTTACAGTTTTCCTTTTCCAAGAAAAAACTGAAATACTAAACCAGAAATATAAAAACTTTTGAGGTTTTAAAAAACTAATTTAGTGTTTTCACAGACACGGTGTTCTACATGTCCCTCTTTTAACTATAGGCACTTTAATTTCATGCATAAGTAAGCAGATCTTACCAAGTTACCTAGAGTTATTTTTGAAGAAATTGATGTTCTCAATTATAATCAGTCATTCATAAAAAGATAGAAATAAAAAGGATACAGCAGAACAACATCATCTTACCTTTACCCTAATTAATTAAAATCATTCAAGGTTTTCCCTGGCCAGTGTGGCTCAGGTGATTGGAGCATCATCCTATACACAAGAAGGTAGCAGTTTGACTCCCAGTTAGGACACATACCCAGGTTGCTGGTTAAATCCCCAGTCCAGGTGCGTGCAGGAGGCAACTGATCAATGTTTCTCTCTCTCTTCTCCTCCCTTCCTCTGAGATCATTTTTTTAAAAAAATCATCAAGGCTCAAGAATGAGAATAAAGGAATCTGGAAGTATAAAATTTTATTATTCTATCATAGGTATCAATGGTTGATGAAAAGATAAGCTTGCTTTTTAATTTCTAAAACTAAAATAATTATAATCATTATTTCTAGACAAAAGTAATAATTTTTAATTAAGTCCTCTAGTTTATACTACAGAGGTAGTTAAGCTGAAGAAGCCAAAGAAGATTCCTTGTAGAAAATTGGTATCCTTAATAATTATTATAGCAATGTCTCATTAATCTAACTGAAACACAGAATACTCATAATCATTCCCCACTCCAATTTTGTAATGGTTCTTTTTCTCACACGCACTGTTTAAATATCTGTATACCACCTATGTGACACATCTATTTTAGTAGTGTTTTGAGGTTTTTTAGGCAATGATTACCTGGGCAAAATGTTTCTCTCAAGCTTGGTCTACAAACCACATAGAATAGTTGTTAAAATAAGGATTTCTGGGCTCCATTTCAGAGATACTGAATCAGAATGACTGGTTCCAGGAAATATGCATTTCACCAATTTTCTATATAAGAAAGCAGCCCACCCACAACACTCAAAACTCCAAAGGTAAGCAGTTCATTTTGAGTGATGATAATGACAATAATAACTGCAAGAATTTTTACAGTAATAATTTTTAAATGAAAGCATCATCAATTTTCTAATCTTAAGTACAATAACATAAATACCCAATTTCTTTTTCCTTTTGCCCTTTCAAGTAATTTCTGGTGCAATTTTTCTCCAATACCATTTTGAAATTTTTGGACAATTTCTTCAGTTTTCTTATATTCTTCTTCATTTGCAAATGGCTTTACTATAAAGAAAAAACATGCATTAAATTATTTAGACATCAAGTACCACAAACTCGCCTTAATTATTATTACTTACACAAACCTTGAAATTCAGTTATATAAAACAATTATGGAATATTAATTATTACAGCAGTCCCATAAATTAGAGTTTATGACATAAAATAGCTTAAGAGCAACAATACAAAATACTGTTTAAAAAAAAAAAAAAAAAAGGAAAACAGTGCAAATTATGTAATCTAATAACCATTTTTTGAAAAATTATTTAAAAATCATTCTGGAACAGCCCAAGTGTCCATAAGTAGAAGAATGGATAAAAAAGCTGTGGTACATATACACAATGGAGTACTACGCAGCTGTAAGAAAGAAAGATCTCTTATCCTTTGAGACGACATGGAGGGACCTGGAAAGTATTATCCTAAGTGAAATAAGCCAAGCAGAAAAAGATAAATACCACATGATCTCACTTATATACGGAATATAATGAACATAAAAGTCTGAGGAATACGGTAGACCCAGAAACATGGAAGTAGGGCACAGACTGACATTCGTCAGCAGAGGGGGTGCGGGGTGGGAAGAGATAAACCACAGAACTTATATGCATGTATACGTAACCAATAGACATGGACAACAAAGCCGGGGACGGGGCGGATGTGGGGTGGGGAGGGGGGTGCCAATGGGGTAAAAAAGAAGAAACATCTGTAACAAAAAAATAAATTAAAAAATTTTAAAAAAAAAGACCTGGCTGCTAGGAACTGTGTCATTGATGACACACTCCAGGTTAAGACAATGCCCTTTCCGGAGACTTGTTCCCCATGGACTATCACTGTCTGGGGGACAATGAGAATAGACCAGTTCGATGGATGGCTCTGGAAAGTCTGGTTAATAATGAGTTCTCCAGCGCTAGTGATGTGTGGGCTTTCAGAGTGATGCTGTGGGAGCTCAGGACTCTGGGCCAAACGCCCTACGTGGACATCGACCCCTTTGAGATGGCTGCATAACTGAAAGACAGTTACCGAATAGCCCAGCCTATCAACTGTCCTGATGAACTATTTGCTGTGATGGCTGGTTGCTGGGCCCTAGATACAGAGGAGAGGCCCAAGTGCCAGCAGCTGGTACAGTGTCGCACAGAGTTCCACCGAGCCCTGGGAGCCTATGTGTGGCTCTCCTCTCAAACCCCACAGCATCCAGGCAGAAAGTGCCCGTCGGGCTCATGTGGAGCCAGCCACGGACACTGCATCCATCCCACAACCCAGCAAAAGCACATTGTCTTCCAGAACACCGTGCCTTAGGAATGCTTTAGAATCTGAACTGTTTAAGACAGACTTAATAATGTGGAATATTTTCTAGATATCATTTTTACTAGATTGAACTGAAAAGGTTTTTGTAAATTTTTTGGCTAAAACATTTTTAAAACATAGTTACTTTGGACTAGGGGTACACTCTTACAAAATAAATAATTTTTGAAATTAAAAAAAAAGAACTTAGTCAGGAACTGAATCAGAATACCATTTGGCAATACCTTCATGTGTAATTCTCTAAGGCTAACAAAAAAGTTTTGATGAAATAGGTAATGAATTTGCATTTCCTATCTAGATAAAATTTTTTAAAAAAAATACTGGCCCAGCCAGTGTGGTTCAGTGGATTGAGGGTTGTCCCATGGACCAAGAGGTCCTGGTTCGATTCCCAGTCAGGGCACATGCCTGGGTTGTGGGTTCAGTCTCCAGTAGGGGGGGGTAGGAAGCAGCCAGTTGATGTTTCTCCCTCTCACATGGATGTTTCTATCTCTCTCTCCTTTCCTGTCTCTCTATTAAAAAAAAAAAAAAAAATCAATAAAAAATATACTTTAAAAAAAAAAATCATTCTGGAAAATGACAGTTAAAATGACAAAGACAGGACTATCATGGAAAGTAAATCCTGTTTAGTCATGAATAAGAGAAATTAAAGTGTCTTTCCACTAATGTTCAAGCAGAGCCCAGAACACTCTGTATGTAAATACAACATGTAAATGTAAAGTCTTCCCAGAGCAGTGTTGGGTGCCTTGTGGCCAATAATGGTTTCCTTCACACACACACACCAAAAAAACAAAAAGAAAAGGAAAAAAGAAAGGATACAGGGTTCTTAATCCTTCAAAACCAAGTGCTCTGAAATTTAAGCTACACATGGAATTCCACAGGCAGGGGGCGAAGTGAAGCTGAAATCAGGACTGCTGGAAAGTCTTTAGAAGCAGCAATCACCCAATCCACACTCGCTTCTGTATAGAAAGCCAGACAACTTCCTCCCAATACCAGTAGAAATGTGGAGGTTTCCTCTCAGGAGAAGTTGAACCAGACAAGCAGATAAAGTAAATTTTAGAAATTTTGGAACATTAATATCTACCTTTTGTTCTATTTTGCCTCTTCAAAATCTTATCTTAAAATCAATTTAAAGATCTATATTCATAGAGTACAAGTGAATAATCAAAAAGGGATCAGTGAATTTATTTTTAAAATACTATAATTCCAAGAAAAAAGATGAGAATAAAGAAGAGAGAAAAAGAATTTAAAAAACAAAATCAAGACAGAGGGCTTCCAGTTAAACAAAGTGAACTAAGTACACAGACTTACCTCTACTACATCTAGAAACTCACTAAAATGACAGTAAATTAAAAAGGTATAAATCCATAAGGACAAAAAAATGAAAACAGAGAGGACAACAGACAGGTCAAGGTAACATTTTACAAATTATAAAACACATGGGAAAACGGCAACTGACTTTGTAGAATGGAGAAAGTAAAGCCTGGAGAGTGGAAGGTAGTGGAAGTTAGGGCAGAGTTAGGTACAAACCAAGAAGCGAGCCAATCCTGCAGTATAATACCAGAAAGGTTCAAGAATTCAAGACACATGGAATTCCAAAGGCAGGGGGGTGAAGTGAAGCTGAAATCAGGACTGCTGGAAAGTCTTTAGAAGCAGCAATCACCCAATCCACACTCGCTTCTGTATAGAAAGCCAGACAACTTCCTCCCAATACCAGTAGAAATGTGGAGGTTTTCTCTCAGGAGAAGTTGAACCAGACAAGCAGAATACCTGGATTCTAGTTCAAAATGAAAAAAAAGGGGGATGGATTATAATCAAAGTGTATACTCCAGCCCCCTCCCTCTACTAAGCTCCCAGAACACCAGCAGTCAGGCTTATGCCTTTAAACAAATGATGAGAGGATTCTTCTTTGGTGAAACAGATCAGGGTAAGAAAAAGGAGTACTGGAATTTGGGTATGACCTAACAGAACTGCTAGTTCTCTGACCTATTATCCTAGAAGGCTCACTAGTAATCAAGCCCTTGAACCCAGGTACACAGAGCTCCTAGTCAGCTTTTTAGGGTCTGACTCAAATATGAGTGTCTAAGGATTACCAGATATTTGAAGAAAACCTCTCACAGGAATCAGAGAGCAGAACAAAGGATTGGTAATATCAAACAGTAAACAGACCAAAAAGGGGAAGGCATTAATAATGAATATGCATCACAATCTTCAAGAAAGAAGAGGCCAAAGTGTGTGGTAACTCTAAGAGCATTGCTCTAATTTCCCACAAAAGTAAAGTGATGTTTAAGATGATGCAACAAAGACTTTTACCTTCTAGAAAATGCTGGGTGTTCAAGCTGGATTCATAAAAAGAAAAGATACTCTAATTACAAGTATTTGTTGAATACTGGAGTGCTCCAAAGAATTTCAGAAGGTTAGTCTATGTAAAGACTTTGACTGCACCAATCAATATTGGCTGCTTTAAAAGAAATGGGCGTGCCTCAGCATTTGATCATCCTGACATGTAACCTGTAGTGTGTCAGGACAGAATATGGAGACAGAACAGTTTTCTATATGTAAAGGTGTCAGACTAGGGTGCATTTTATCTCTCTATCTGTTTAATCTATACACAGAACATATAATACGAAAAACTGGACTAGACTCAAAGGAAGGAGTGAAATTGGTGGAAGAACTATCAGTAATTTAAAATATGCAGATGATACCATCTTACTGGCAGAAAGTTACAATGATTTGAAAAGACTTCTGATGAAAGTGAAAGAAGAAAATGTCAAAGCAGGACTGCATTTGACCAGCAAGAAGACAAAAATCATGAGGATATATACAACTTTACCACAGACAATGAAGATAAGACTTTGCTTACCTTGGTTCAGTCTTCAGTTCAATGGAGACTGCAGTCAAGAAATCAAGAAAAGGCTGAGATTTGAAAGGGCAACAATGAAAGAATTATAAAAGATCACCAAGAGCAAAGTTGTGTTATTGGAGACCAAGGCTTAGATCATCCGCACTCTTGTATTTCCAGTAACTATACACAGATGCAAAAGTTGGACAGTGAAGAAGGCTGATAGGAAAAACATTTATTCATTTGAAACATTGTGTTGTAGGAGAGCTCTATGGATACCCCGGACCACCAGAAATTAGAACAAGTGGGTCCTAGAATTTGCCCGAAATATCACTGGGAGCAAAAAAAACAAAACTGAAGCTGTCCTACATTAGTCACATCATGAGAAGGCAGAATTCTTTGGAAAAAACAATAAAACTGGGTAAAATAGAAGACAAGAGGCCCAGCGGGTGTGGCTCAGTGGTTGAGCGCTGACCCATGCACCAAGAGTTTGCTGGTTCAGTTCCTAGTCAGGGCACATGCCCAGGCTGTGGGTCTGATCCCCAGTGGGGGGCATGCAGGAGGTGGCCAGTTGATGTTCTCTCTCATTGATATTTCAATCTCTCTCTCCCTCTTCCTTCCTCTCTCTGTAAAATCAATAAGAAAAAAAAAAGGCTTCTGATCTTTGATGAGGTGGGAGGTACCACACCAGCCCCCACATTTCTTTAAAAAAAAAAAAAAAGAACACAACAGGAAGAGGAAAAACCAGGTGGACTGACTGCATAAAAGAAGCCATAGGCATGAGACTACAGGAGATGAACAGGGCTGTTGAGGACAGGACATTGTGGATATAACTCACTCATAGAGTCGCCAGGAGTCAAAGATGACTCAACAATAATTAACACACTAATAACAAAAGGGAAACATTTTTAAATTAAAAGCTTAGCCCAGAAGGACCTAGGTCCAAGTAACAGTAGTTCCAGAAAGAGAAAGCAAAGAAGTGAGGAGAAAACTATCAAAGAAACAGTATTTCATAAGTTTCCCAGAACTAAAGAAACATGACTTTTTAAACTAAAAGAACCCACTGGGCATTTAGATAAATAAATAAATAAATAAATAAATAAATAAATAAATACCTACACACTAAGAGACATCACTGTGAAATTCAGAATGGTAGGGACTTAAAAAAAAAAAAAAAGAAGAAGAGGTTACCAAACACATCGAGAGAGTAAAAAACAATACAGAGCACATGTAAAGGACTGAATATCAGAACATATCATACTTCTCAGGAGGAACAATCAGTGCCTTCAAAAAACTCTTTTAAAGAGTTTAAAACCATTTCAACCCAGAATTCTATAGTCAGCCAAACCAGTATGAAGGTAGAATGTTTTTTAGGTCCTACATTATCTTCCTCCCAGATACTCTTTCTCAAGTGGTCACTGAAGATGTACTGCACCAAAATATGGAAAGAGAAAGAGGAAAAAAAGAGGAAGACAGAATCCAAGAACCAGGGAATCCAACACAGGAGGGGTGAAGAGAACTTCCAGGATGACGACCAAAGGAAAGCCCAGAACAACAGCTTCCCCATCAGCTCAATGCTGGTTGGAGCAAGAGGGTAGAAGGTGTTAGGAGGGATGAAATCAAAGAAGAAATGAAACTGAGAGAATATCTTATGTATTTAAATATATTCAGAGATTCTCAGTGTACTGAAGTGTTTGGGAATGAATCAGTTGTGAATACAAAGCAAGCTAAGCAAATGAAAAATGGGGTGGGGGGAGCGTGCAGCCAAAAAGTAATCAAAGTGCATCAAATGATTCTCTTGTGAACAACTGCAAAACCATAAACCCTAAATGGTCAGGTAAATACTGATTTATATCAGGTGAACCCCTAAATTAAATCAGGTGAATAATAATTTAATCCCAAATGCTGACTGGTACAACTATATAGAGAGAATGAGAGGGAAAATGTGGACATGTTGGGTTGCATATATGTTGGCAGACAAAGTTAGGGGGTGTAAGAGAGTTAAATCCACATATTTTTTTTGAACTAATTCATAATACCAACTGAAAAATCCAAGATTTAATAGCATAAGATGTTTAAATAGTTTAAGCCTGGAGATAACACAAGAAACAGATAAATTATTTGAAAATGCTTGAGAGAATGGGATTTGAAGGGGATGGAGGGATGAGGCAGAGGCCTACTACTTTTTATTGCAAGTCTAATAGTACTATGTGGCTTTTTAAACTATGGAAAAATTAACATAAGAGAAAATTTAGGACATTTTAAGGACATGTAATTGTCATTAGCCTAAAAGAAAAAGCAATTAGACCTTCACTGACTTCTAACAATTTCATAGTTTTCTAAGTTGCTAATAATAGTTATACTAAAAGATTACACACATACCTGATTCAAGGTATTTTTTTAATGATTCTTCAAGTGAAGGAACAGGCAGTGATGGAAGAGAATCCTGATACTGAAATGTTCGTTCTTCAGTTGACTTAGCCAATTGATTTTCCATGATGCAATCACAATAGAAAAACTAAAGAAAAAAGACAGTCCTCATAGCTTCAACCTCATAAATTTTTATATTTAGTAGGTCCAACCCACTAAATCAATTATTTAGGGACCCATTATGTCCAAGACTTGGTCCTAGTCCTTAATAATTCATAAATTTTTAAAAAGTATAGACTGAGGGGAATGAGAGTTTGCCACCCCCAAATATGCCCTTTTTTGGATATTGATTGTTTTTAAGCTCATTATTTTTTTTTTTATCCTCACCCGAAGCCATTTTTTTGTTCAGGTAGAGTGGGAGGGAGAGAGAGGAACAGAGAGAGAGAGAGAAACATTGATGTGAAAGGAACACATCGAGTGGCTGCCACCTGCACAACCGACCAGGGCCGGGAACAAACTGCAACCGAGGTACGCGCCCCCAGTGGGAACCGAACCCGGGTCTCTCAGGACCGTAGGCCGACACTCTAACCGCTGAACCAAACCGGCCAGGGCTAAGCTCATTATTTTTTTTTTTTTTTTGTACAGATAGAGTGGGAGGGAGAGAGAGGAAGGGAGAGAGAGTGAGAAACATCGACGTGAAGGGACACATCGAGTGGCTGCCACCCGCACGACCAACCAGGGCCCGGGACAAACTGCAACCGAAGTACGTGCCCTTAGCGGGCACCGAACCCGGGTCTCTCCGGACCGCAGGTCGACGCTCTAACCGCTGAGCCAAACTGGCCAGGGCTAAGCTCATTATTTTTAACAAACAAAAGACTCAGGAAAAATTCTGACCTTCCTTCAAACAGCCTAAAATAATTTAAATAGAGGACTCCTACGGGAAGAAAGCAATAGATAACGATGGCTTAATATGAACTAAGTGTGATATACAGGGAGGAAATAGCAAGGCACCTCATGGAAGTCCTCTCTGTTTCCATTAATGGCCCAGCAAACATTTGCTTCTCATCTCCATGTAAATTGAGTCGCTGCCCCTTGAAGTCCCAAACCACAGCCTCCTACTCTTTCTTAGCACATGATGGCACATAAGCCTTAACTACCAGATCTGCCCTCAGGGCCCATATTCTTACAGACCCTCCATATGTGTATAAGTAAAACATGGTTATTTTCTCCTGTTATTCTTTCTCATGTCAATTTGATTACTGGACCAACCAGAAAAATTTAGAAGGGTAGAAGGAAAAGTATTTTTCCTCCCCCATAACTCAAAGGGCTAGAAGTAAAGGAGTAATCGGTGGGACCAGGATAATTATCATTTACTGACCACCTCCTATTTGCCAAATACTTCAGTAGGTGTTACAGAAATTGTGTTATCTCCCTAATCTTCATATTATCTCTGAAAGGTGGCATTCACTGCTATTTTATAAATGAAGATACAAAACTCAGAGAGATTTGGTAACTTGCCTCAGATCAAACCAACTCAAAGCTAGATGTGTTCGACTACTATGGTCTTCCCCCTATACAAAGGCTACATAATAGTGGGGGAGGAGACCTGCCGTAGATCTAAATGGGTAGGCAGAATTCAGATGTATAGAAGAGGATAATGGCCCTGGCCGGTTCTGCTCAGCGGTTAGAGCATCGGCCTAAGGATAAAGAGTCTTGGGTTCAATTCTGGTCAAGGGCACGCACCTTGGTTCCCCAGGCCTGGTCTGGGTCATGCAGGAGGTAACCAATCGATGTGTCTCTTTCACATTGATGTTTCTTTCTTTCTCTCTCTCTTCCTCCCTCCCTGTCCCACACACTATTTGAAGATAAATGGAAAAATATCCTTGGGTGAGGATTTAAAAAACAAAAAGAAGAGGATAATGGGTTGAGACAGAGAACTCTGGAAGCAAATATATAAGAATATTACAGAATACATAAAATCACATGACAAGCTGCTGTAATCTAATTGTGCAGATGGTGTAAGATCTACACAGAATGGTTTCAAGTTTCCCAAAGCAATCCTGAACATTTCCCACAAATGTATTCATTTTCATCAGAAAATTCAAACTAACCCAAAATGTGAATGAGGTATAAAGATGCCAAATGAAAAATGAGATTTCTCAAAAAGTCTTTATAAAGTAAGTTATATATTAAAATAGCAACTGAGAACTCAAGGAACACTGATATTGAATACAAATTTCCTGTCCTTTCAAATAGTACTTTTTAAAACTAATAGAAAGACAAACAAGCCCAGCCGGTGTGACTCAGTGGTTGAGCATCACCTATACACCAAGAAGTTGCCAGTTTGATTCCCAGTCAGGGCACATGCCCAGGTTGTGGGCCAAAACTCCAGTGGGGGCATGCAGGAGGTGGCCAATCGATGTTCTCTCTCTCATAGATATTTCTGTTTCTTTCTCTCCTTTCCTCTCTCTCTGAAATCAATAAAGAAAAAAAAATTCTTTTTAAAAAAGAAACAAAATATTCCACTCATAGGTTACAGAATAAAACATTATCAAAAACAAGGGTGTGGCAGAGACTCTTTTAAGCCAATTACCCCCTTAACAAAATCTGAAGTTTTAGCTGGGCATATAGCTACACAGCTCTCTCTCCCCTACCCTCCCTTGGGGCTCAGTATGGCTTTGTGATGTATGTATCACCTTCAGGTGAGCCCCTATAAAGGACCACACGTGTTCTCCCTGTGTTTTCTCTCCTCACTGCCTTGAAGATAGTCTCAATTGGAACAGCACTTTGGACCCATTTATGGTAGTCATGTACAGGCACAATGCACAGGCATATCTCAGATTGTGGGTTCAGTTCCAGATCATTGCAATAAAGTGAATTGTAATCTTTTTGCTGGTGGAGGGTCTTGCCTTCAATTTGCAAGAAACAAATCTGTGAAATGAAGTAAAACGAGGGATGCCTAAATTGAGGTGATCAGAATCTTCCTACTAGCCCTGGATTCCTCCCTCTAAATTTATGAAAAAACAAAATAAATAGCTTTTATCTTATTTATACCATTGTATTTTGGGCTTCCTTTGTTAGGGTAGAAGAGCTTAGCCTGTATCATTCATATACAGAGATAATCCAAAAATGAGATACAACAAAGCTCTCACAGTTCCTCAGCACAGCTGACCTTAAAATAGGGAGATTATCCAGGTGGACCTAATTTGATCATTTGAGCCTTTAGGAGTACAAAGCTTTCTCCAGGTGGTGACAGAAGAGTCAGAGAGATTAAAACCATGAAAGGTGTTCTCTGGCTCTGAAAATGTAAATGGTCTTATGGAACTAAGAGAGGCCCTAGCTAACTATCAAGAAGGAAATGGGGACCTCAGTTCTACAACTGCATGGAAATGAATTCTGCCAATAACCTTAATGAGCTTCCTGGTGGTGGATTCTTCCCCAGAGTGCCCAGAAAAGAGCCCAGACCTACATGAACCTTTATTTCAGCTTTGTGAGATCCCAAGCAGAGTACCCAGCTAAACCTACCTGGACTTATGATCTATAGAAGCTGTGAGGTAATAAGTTTGTGTTTTTTAAATTAAGTTTGTGATAAATTGTTATGGCAGCAATAGAAAACGAATACACATATATTGAAAAGATAAGCTATTCTCTGTATACCTCCCTGCCATTTAACAGACTCTAGAAAACTGAGACCAACAGTACCAATTCCATACCCACTGCATTCTTAACTAACCAAGAGGCACACATTAAAATATAAATTATCAGATTCTTTCATGAAAGATTATTTGTTTTGAATTCTCAACCACAAAGATTAAATTAAATAACATAATTACAAAAGAACCTATATATGTATTCAGAAAATGATGACGCTGGATTTAATTACAGTGGGATTCCTGGTCGCAATAAGATGTAAACGCAAAGTGGAAAGGAGAATCAGGTTCAATAAGTTAAAAAAAAAAATTGCCACATACCAACACACCAAGATGAATTGTTTAGGAGTCTCAGGAGCCTGCTGCAACAATTCTGTTTGGAGATCACTAGGAAGTAGGCTGATGACTGTGGGAAGGAAGAAACAAGCTTAACGATTGCAGGGAGGGATATTAATAAAAACTATTGAAAGAGAGTGGAAGACAATCTGGTGGATGGGAGGCCCCAAGACTCAAACTTTTGGGAAAGCACAGCAAACACATGCAAAAAGTCCAACTGCTAGAAAACTGGATAAAAACTACCACAGGGTTCACTAGCTTACAAACAACCATATTTCCTTCCATTAGACACGGAATACAGCGAACCCCGGGTGCCCCGGTTCTAGAGCGCAAGGCAGAGGGAGACGAGAGCTCGGAAACTCTTCCCACCAAACCAAGGTCAGCTGCACACTCTAGAGGCCACCTGGTGAGAGAGACTCTAACCAAGCACCACCACGGACCAGCCCGGGGGCCCGACGTCAGGGGTACTTCTGCGACCCGGGCAGGCAAGATGCCTGCTGACGACTCCCTCGCCCAGTCCTGGCACTTCCGCCGTCCTACATTTCTCAACTCTGTTCCACACAACTTAACTTTCCCCGACCCCGGACGGGTGAGGGGTGGCAGGGGGGAGCACTGTCTCGGAAGGGCCTGCTCGTCCTCACCCCGCGCGCTTTGCCCACAGCCCATAGCCGCGCCAGCCCGCTCCCTTGAAGCCGCAAAGATGTGAGGCCCTGTGGCCACTGGGAACGGGGATTGGATGGAAAGTCGCGAGGGTCGGCCCCGCAGCCTCTGGGGAGCGGGGATTGGATAGAAATCGCGGAGGTCCCGCCCCTACCCAGGGGCAGGCCGGGCCTGCGCTCTGCTGGGACCCGGCCCCTCCCGCTGGTGTCTGGCTCCGGGCGGGATTCCAGGCTGCGGACCTGGGAAAGGCTCGGGGGATGCCGGATGAAAGGTCCAAACCCGGCCTGGCAGCAGTTAATTACTTGCTGCAGGCGGAGCACAGCGCCCAGGCCCGTCACGCTCCGCCCACACAGGTACCTAACTCTTAGGTGTGGGCGCAGGAAACGATGACCCAGACCCATTTTTACCCAACTTGTTAAAGACTCAGTGCCCAATTCCTTCCGATTCTAGCCCCTGCTCTGGTTTACCAGCCTCTCCCCTCCGTTCTCAGTGAGACCTTTTCTGCAACCTTTTCAGGCACATAAAGGATGTTGATAATAAGAATTTGTCCCAAGATTAAATATTGATTGAGTCTTTGATGTATAGGCAATATGAGATATATGGACAGTTTAGTTTACTGGCATTTCACTTTAAGTGTTAGATATAAAAGTATGCCTTTCAGTTTAGCCTAAAATTTTCCAGAAATTGTGTCAGACAATGATATATATTTTTTCTATTTAGTTGTGACCTACTTTTTCAGGGCCCCTCCAGAGTGTCTTCTGCCAAATCCACATTACCAAAAAGTCATGACTGCATCTGGAGGCAAAGCTTGGAAGATACAACTAAACCCTCTCTTATCAACATCATGACTGAGCTGCAAGCCATACGGAAAGCCCAGGTAAATGTGATTTTTTTGTGATGACAGAAAAGTGTTGTATCTGTGCTATCCAGTATTATAGTCACTAGCAATATGTAGCTGTGAGCATTTGAAATGTGACTAGTTAAAATAAGAAACTGAATTTTTGTTGGTTTTGTTGTTTTAAAAACTTTGTATTAAAGTATAGTTGGCGCCCTAGCTGGTTGTTCAGTGGTTAGAGCATCGGCCTATGGACCAGAGAGTCCTGGGTTTGGTTCCTGCTAAGGGCACGTATCTTGGTTGCAGTTTGTCCCCAGCCCCGGTTGGGGTCCTGTAGGTGGCAACCACTCTATGTGTCTCTGGTTTCCATTCCTTAATTACTTCATATTCAGAAGTCTGGCAACCTTGGTATAAATAATATGGATTTTTACAAATATAAACTAAGGTTTTTCTTAGGTGCAACTTCTCCAATATATTTAATAGAGTATTCTCTTAAGTGGCAATCTTTCCAGGGTATCAAATAACCATTCCATGTCATCACTACTTTTCAGGAAAATGAAAGGTACTAAAATATGCCTTTTCCTACATTTTGGAGAGTGAGTTTTTGAATGAGTTTGAATACTATGAATTTAATGCTTATGTTTATTACTTGATACAAAATATTTTTGAGGAAACATTCCATGTAATCAAGCACATAAGGGCTCTTCTTTAATAGCTTTTCTCCTGAGAAATAGAAATGGCAACTTCATGAAGTTTTTATGGAAAAATTTCAAATGACCTACTTTTAGATCAATAAAAATAAAATAGTATTAAAGTACTAAGATTTAAGACACACTATCTTATTAGTGTTTGCATAGTAATGTGTCAACTTTTATTCAACATTGTATTCTTGCTTTATTGAAGACAATATATTTTGTATAAAGTACTGAAAACGCCTGCTGGGTTTCCTGTGTCTCTTCTGGGTTCTGCGATTTATCTTATTACACAAAACCATTTATACTTTAGGGCTATCACTTTTGAAAATGAGAATATAGTATCCTTGAATAAACAATTAACCATTGTAAACAAATTTCAGAATAGCCCTGAAGTACGTCAAGATTTCATAGTAGGGCCACTGTAATTCAGAAAATGTAAGGATAGATAGGGTAGTATAGTCAGAGCACTCACGGTAAGTAAGTTCTAGAAACCTGTTTCTGCTTCTAACAGACGTGTGTTTTTGAGATAATCATTTAAACCCTAGGTAGGCCCAAGCATTTTTTGGAAAATAATTCTCTGAGCTCATGGTCCCTACCTTCTTTATAGTTCTGAGAAACTCCCAATGAGCTTTACAACATGACCCAAAGCAGAGCTCATTGTGACCATGTCTCTTGCTGGGCAGAAATCCCACCAGAAAGTGGATAGTCTTGGTGTAGTATGATTTGCAATCCACCACAGGGAACTTGTAGAATTCCTTAACAAAATGGATTCCACCATCTCTTAGGTCTACTAGTCACTCTTTCTTACACACAAACTCCTACAGGAAACCTTTCTTCATGATCTTTCTGCCCTCACCTCTTCACCCAGGCTGACTGCACATGTTTCTTCACAGATCTTTCTCAGTGTCTATTCTTTTGTAATTATGACCCATTCTCACCTGCAGTTAATTTCACCCTAAGGGCCTACTGGAGTTGGTTAACTGGGACAGTTACTGTGATTAGGCAATTGGTTTTTTTGTTTTTTTTTATCCTCACCCGAGGACATTTTTCCATTTTTTGTTCAGGTAGAGTGGGAAGGAGAGAGAGGAACAGAGAGAGAGAGAAACATCCATGTGAAAGGAACACATCGAGTGGCTGCCACCCGCACAACCGACAGGGCCGGGGACAAACTGCAACCGAGGTACGCGCCGTTAGCGGGAACCGAACCCGGGTCTCTCAGGACCGCAGGCCGACGCTCTAACCGCTGAACCAAACCGGCCAGGGCTGATTGGGCAATTGGATGCACTTGTTAACACTGGCTGCCTAATACAGTAGCTTTCCTGTTAGCATTGTGCTCTGCTCTGGTGTACATAAGATTTATTATTTTACCTTCTGTTTCACAGAGGCTGATATGTGATACCTAGAGAGGTAAAAGACTATACAAACAAGTATTTATTGAGCACTACTCGTTGCCCAGTATTATGTTGAATACAAATACAAAGCAACAAGTCAACTCTGTTATTTCCAGTTTTCTGTTTCCATAGATATGACAGCCCATAGGTGGAAGGCCTAAGGCATTCTTTGTTGTATTTTATGGTGGAGCATGTAGATTGTGAAAAATAATCATAGGCTGCCAAGTGTGTAACTTCTACAAAAATTATATTCAACGTTCTGCTTGGATAAATATATGTTGTATTTTTTTTTCTTTTCCTTACATAATTCTTTGATATAATGTTATCCTTTACCTTAACATTTGCTTTTAAATAAAAATTTGACATAGGGAATTTTATTAGACACACTGTGTTTCTCTAACGCAATGCCAAGCCAAAGTGAGTGCTGCTTGAATTCTTATGTGTGGAAAAAAGAACTGTTATTTCTGAGTTATACAAATCTAAATTATTTTAATTTTTTTATAGTCTTCTGTATTTTCCAGATGGCCTAACATACACACACACACACACACACATATATATCTATCTGTATATATATGCATGTCTATATATATCTGTATCCACATACATATTTTTACGGGACCTCAGGATATCATACAGTTCTGGGTCTTGCCTTTAGAAAGATTATGTGCTATTATCCTTATAAGAGGTTAATCATCAGAAACCCAGAAATATGAAGTTAAAATTAAATAAAATAATCTGTAATTATGCAAATAGGAAATGATGGAGGAAGGACCAGAACTTAAATTTTTCTAGCTACTAGTTTTGTATTTTTCCTGTTAAAATGCACATGACAGATGGAGGGGTAGAACTGCCCTTTCCTCCAACAGAATGTGTATATTAAATCTCTGGTATTCCAGAACTTAAAGTGTGCAATCCAGGGGGTCTTGTATATGTGTACACTGTCTTTAATCAATTTGAATTTTTTTATATCTAAAGATGTTTTATGCAGTAAAATGCATATGTTAGACTCTCAATAATAATACCTTTAAGAAAATATAGCAGAACATTAACAGTAATTGATTTGGGGTTGTGGGTTAATGTTTTCCTTTTCAGTATATTTTCCTATAATGACTTATTTTCTGTAATGACTACTTCATAGTTTACCATTAATCAAAACTAATTCTTTTTATAAAAAGCAGACTGATATTCCTGTGTTCATGTCTTATTTCTCAAAAAGGAGGAAATAATATTTTTTTCTTTTATTTTTTCCATCTTATTTATCCCTTCTATGCCCTCTCTCACCTCCACCCCCCACAATCACCACACTGTTGTCCATGTCCATGATTTCTCTTTTTTTCCCCCCTTTTTTGGTCCATCTCTCCACCCCACTCCCCCATATTTTTTTTTATTTAATAAGGACAAGACATATTCATTGTAAATAGTTAACATTATGATTCATTGCTTTTAAATTGTTTTCTTTAATAATCTGTTAGAAGTTATGAAACTTCCCCTTAGAAGAATACACATGTTGAAAAATATTTTCTGGAGGTTCACAGATCCACTGAAGCTCCTTTAAACTTTTCCAGTATTGCTCAAAGCATTGGCTACAATTATCATCAAAACACCTGGGATGCTTGTATGACTTGCAGATTCCCAGCCTTGCCTGAGACTCTGAATCAAAGGCAGAAGTGGGACCCAGGCACCTGCCTCTTTAACAAGACTGTCTGTCCCCACACTCCAAGGAAATGGAATGCACTGCAAGTGTGAGAATCTCAGGTGTCTTCAGATCTCATATTAAAAATCCTAAGTCAGAATAGCAAAAATTAAAAGGGTAGAGAACATCCAGTGGCAGGTCTTGAAATTAGAAATCTGACTGAGAGTTTGTCAGTTGCTGAGAGAGTAGATTTTAAGTGTCTCTCTCACACATAAAAGAAGTAATTGTGAGGCGATGGGTGTTTCAATTAATGTGATTGTGGAAATTATTCACAATGTATACTATTATTAAATCGTCACCTTGTACACCCTTAATATACACAATTTTTGGGTCAATTTTACCTCAATTAAGCTGGGGGGGGGGCACAATAAACAAGACTAGTAATTTATAACAGTTTTGCTGAACCTTTAG